GCACACCAAAGGTCGAACAACCGGGGTTTATCGCCTCCTCATCCTCGACGGCCATGGAAGCCACCACTCGACAGACTTTGAGATTTATTGCAAGGAAAACAACATCATTACCCTCTGCATGCCCCCTCATTCATCTCACAAGCTCCAGCCAGCTGATGTTGGGTGTTTCAGCCCGCTCAAAGCGGCATACGGCAAGCAGATCGAGGAGATGATGCGGGCAAGCATAACCTACATTACCAAAGAGGACTTCCTTTTCGCATTCCTTGCAGCTCACCAGGCAACCATGACGTACGACAATATTCGGGGAGGATTTCGGGGTGCAGCGCTTGTTCCTTTTGATCCCGAAGTGGTAATCTCCCAGCTCGACATCCGTCTCAAGACGCCGACACCCCCCAACTCAGGGCCCGGCAGTGCCCATACCTGGGTATCCAAGACGCCGAACAATCCAATCGAAGCCGCTTCACAGACCACTCTCATCAAGACCCGGATTGCGCAGCATCAAGATAGCTCTCCAACAGAGATTTTAAGGGCTGTCGATGTACTTGCGAAAGGGACGTCGAGGATAATGCATCAGCTTGCATTGTTGAAGGCAGAGAACCAAAGCCTTCGAGCAGCAAATGAGGCGCTAAGCAAACGCCGGAGGATAAAAGAAATACGGCTACGGCAAGGAGGATTGCTTACTGTGCAGGATGGAGAGGATTTGCAAGCCCAGAGAGATGTTGAGGTGCAGATACGGGCGGAAACACAGGCGGGCAGTGGTCGGAAGCCGAGGATTGAGACGCGCACGCGGCGTTGTGGCAGATGCGGCGAGCCTGGCCATAATGCACGCACCTGTCAAGGAGTTGCAAAAGTGCCCGAGGAAGACCATTCCGAGTGATTTCAATCATTTTTGTCAGTGTTGGTTGAATCATGTTGAAATTTGTTGTCAGATGTGTTTTTGTGGGACGTTCGCTTGTCTGGCACGTTCGCTTATCATGTACGTTATTGACTTAAGTTGATAAATACCCTAGAAGGAACCTACCAGGTCTCATACCTTCCTTACCTTACTGGATTTACCTTACCTCTCAAGACTTTCCGAAATATATTTCTTATTTCTTGCCATCGCAACTACGAAGGTACAAAACCATGCTCTTCGCGTGCCTACCGAGATCATAATAGACACCTGCGATACTCCAATTCCACCAGGGAAGTGCTCGCCTTCCTGTCGATGTGTCGGCACATCCACGCGGTCTGGTGCGCAAACACGGCGGCAGCGCTCTGGCCCGTCTTCCTCCGCGAGATTTCGTATTTTTTGGCACGCGCTTTTGGCCGTGAGTTCCACTCATGCACAGGCAGTTCGATGCTGACATGGACAGGCCCGTGTCACCCAGCTCGTTGTCGACGCCGAACGCCGGGGCGAGCTGCCGCCAACGCGCATCTCGCCTGGCCAGGTCAGGCACCCCGAGCAGCCGTCCCTTTCGGAAATGAAGCTGCCCTGAATGTCCATCGGTTTGCAGTCGCCCTCGCACGATCCATCTGTCAATGCAACCTACCGTACCCTTTGGATGAAGATGATTTGCCTGAGCCATTGGGCCCCGAGGCTCCAGCCCGCCTATCGCGTCCCATCCTCAGGGCCTTAATCATCGGCGCTGCACTGGCTGGCACATACAGGGAGCCGCTGCTCAAAGCAAAGGACCACCCGGATGCCAATATCAGAGCACTCTATTCCACGGCCACCGGTAATCACATGAAAGGTGCCGACATTGGGGAGACGGAGCTCGCGTATTTCCTGCAGTACGCTGTGTGCGACCTCACAGCTACCCTCGAGCGCAGGAAACCATATTTGGGCCTCTGGCCGAATGGCTTCTGGACGACATTCTCTCCGACAAGACTCGAGGAAGGCCATGGCGAAGCACTTCGACCAAGACACCGGCGGGAGCGTATTCTGCCGGGAGCACCAAGACTGTGACGAGAAGGATCTCTAATCAAGTCGATCGACAGGGGTAGTCACTCCGACGACATCCGATTGTTTGGGAACTGACGAAGTCGCTCTGCGTGGTTGAACAGCTCCGTTTGTTGGGCTGTGGCAGGAGGCCCGTCATTGATCGGTCAAGGGATCCCCTGTTAGAAGTGATCCTGTTCCGCCCGGAGCCCAATCTTCGTCATTAACGGTCGTCGTGTTCTTTGGCTGGTGGGTAGCCGAGGAGGTCCTGTTACCTGGACACGTCGCAGACCCTCAGGGCAACCCCGTGGCTAACGCAACGGTGAATCCCCGAGAGCCGTACGATACCGTTGCGTCTCTCTTGACTGGGCCTTTGATAATTTCGGCCGGCCAAACCTTCACCGCTGGCATGACGATCGACCTCCTACCTACCATCTCGTGCTCTCGCTGGATTTCAATTTCTTCGAGTTTTTCTCGCCCAAAATTTTGGCCTCTGCTTCAACTCGGAGGCGTTTTGCGGTGGCATGAGGCTTTACTACCTGAACCGACTCTATAAGAATTTGCCAACTACCTCCTAATCTTCTCGCACAACGATGTGGAACACCGCCGCTGCCATACCTCGTACCCGCAGAAACTGTCCAAGATTGAATTGAGGATTCATTGACGGCTCCGAGATCCTCGATCGATATCCCTTACATGATGGGGCCTTCTACGGGAGATGTAGTCGGAGCGAGTTGACTTTGGGAATGGGGTTGTAAAAAAAAACTAAAGCAGGTCTGGTGTTGGCGCAGTGGAACTGGGACCGCTCTAGACATGAAAAAATCAGCAAGAAGCATAAGACAGTATGCGAGCCAAGGTGCCTCTGAAGCGATGACGATGCTTCCCTGAGCACACTCCCTATCTTGGAAGCCAAAGCCGCCCCTCGGGTTCTCATGGCATAGTTCCCAACACCCTAAGTCATCTCTGTCAAGCGGTTTGTTCTTCCGCAAGCGGATATCGGTGTGGGTTCGCTGATTTCAGACGCCTAGGCAGGTAATCAATATGATTCTGAATTCATTCGCTTTTGAGTTTGGAATGGCATCGGGGAAGCCACTCCAAGCAGCTGGGGAGGTTCAGTCCCAGGCTAGCAAAGGTAATTGCTCGCCTTCAGCTCAGCCTTTAGCTCTAGGCTGCCGTGTACAGGATAGGTCAGGTACGCGTCCGTACATCAGCTGAGGTTTAAATGTCAAATTGGTCTGACCCCGCAAAGCCACCCCAATCCTCTTACTTCTCGACTTCTGAACAGCGGAACGTCGCAGATCCCCCAACTCAACGCATTCGAACCACGCTTGATTTGCAATTTAGCCAAGGTACACGTTCCGCACAATGCGTCTCATCGACACAAGCACGCTCGAATTCTCCGAGTTTTTGGGGCCAACGACTCCGCGGTACGCCATCCTCTCGCACACTTGGGGGGCCGACGAGGTTTCGCTACAAGACATGGAGCTGGGCCTGCCCTCCCTCGCATCCAAGGAAGGCTATCGAAAGGTCGTCGACTACTGCCGTCTGGCTGCCCAGCAAGGCTATGGGTGGGCCTGGGTCGACACCTGCTGCATCGACAAGACGAACCACGCCGAGCTCGCTGAGAGCATCAACTCTATGTTTCGCTGGTATCAAGAGGCCGCCGTCTGCCACGTATTTCTTTCTGACCTGGGCCCCCAGGCCGCGCTTGGGACCGCTCTGCCCCCCTGCCGCTGGTTTACGCGAGGTTGGACGCTGCAGGAGCTAATTGCGCCTGCCACCGTGGAGTTCTATGACGGAAACTGGGTCATGAGGGGTACGAAAGCGAGTCTCATCACGCAACTCGAGTCCATAACCGGCATCTTAGCATCCGTTTTAGCGGGGAGTTCGCGCCTCGCCAACGTCAGCGTCGGAGTCAGGATGTCCTGGGCTGCGAATCGTGAAACAACTCGGCCGGAAGATATGGCCTACTCGCTTCTCGGCATCTTCGACGTGAACATGCCCATGATTTACGGAGAAGGCGAGAAAGCGTTTCGGCGACTGCAAGAAGAGATCATTCGCCAGAGTAACGACCTTACAATATTCGCCTGGCAAGATGATTCCAGCTTCTATCGTAAGCTCGCCCGGTCGACGTATCGACAAGCGGTTGTGGCCCGGAGTGCCCCTCTGCTGGCACTGTCCCCTCGCGACTTTGGCCTACACTCCGCCTGGGGCTCCCGTGGCTCATTGCGGAGACTCGGGTTCGAGAACGGATCGAAGTGGTCAGATATCAACCCAGAATACGCCATCACCAACAAAGGGCTGAGAATTACAACCTCCTTGGTACTACACGACCTAGTCGACGAACCCGCTCACTGGGTTACTAAAGGTCGTTCGTATTTCCTTGCGCTGGGCGAACTCAGACGCCACCCTGAGGATCCTCATGGGAACATTGTCGGGCTCCTGCTGGACAAGCTCGGACCTGACGTATTTTCACGGCGGGAGGCTGACCTCTGCGAGATTCCTGAGACAGCGTTCCCAATGCTGACACAGTCAATGACCATTTACATCGTGATGAGCGAAAACAGCTTCTACGCCAACAGGGAAGCTGCTTCACGGCAGGGGACCTTCAGAGTGCGCGATGGACGGGTCCCAATCCGATCTCAGGATACGGAATGGCGGGGGGACCAAGGGAGCGCGCAGACACCTCATGTCTCTGTTCGGGTCTTGAGAGCGATCCCACAGAGGTACTGGGACCACACCAACCAGCGTTTCTTTTGCACACCCGGGAATGCCACCGTCCTTGCCTTCAGCGTTGGTGTTTCGCTCGACCAATACGAAGTGGTAGTTGTGTGCTTGGTCGATCTTCAGCGGCCACGTGGTCAACTTTCATGGCCGGTACTGTTCCTGTACGGTCCTGGGGAAGCCCCAGACTTGATGTCGTGGTTTATGAGCAGAAAGGCAGCCGGAGAGAGTACATTCTGGGAGGACCTGCCCGTCCATTGGTTGCAATGGCCGCGCTCGCGACATTCTTTGAAGATCTCGGTCAACGGCGTCTCATATTCGGTCTCGGCCCAGGTCAACGCGGAGCGTGAGAGAGAACTTAGGGCCGGTTTTCCGAGATGGATTATATCCTTCGATGTCATGCGGCACAGTGCAGCGGATACTTGCGCTGATGGCGGACTCATCAAAAGCGAATGAAGCAAACCCGACATATCACTGTCTGTTACACCTACAGATCGGCAATCGAAATGTCGAAACTCGATTCCACACTACCTTAGTAGCTTGTGGTGGACTAAGCCGCCTGACATAATTGACTATGGACGCTGTTACTTTGCCATGAAGGCCCCGGGGCAGCCTGGCTTCCGAGTCTGAGAGTGCGCTTATGGGGTGGACATCATTCTTTTTCAGGGGCACCTTGGCTCGTCTACTACCTGGTACTTAATTCTTCGGTCAGATCCGTCACCAGGCCGAAGCGCACACCCTGGCGGCCTGTAAAATGTCATCACTGAAGGGAAAGGATTTGGAAGGACATTGGTTACCAACCTAGGCGCCCGATTCTACCAGTCCTCGAACGCATAACTGACCCCTAACCGAACCCTCAAACCAACGACAATCCATGCCGAACCTCGGGTAAGTTGTTGTGCACCAGACTCCATGCAATGCTTAAACCCATTCGCCAAACAAATACCATCATAGCCTTCCACACCATGCTCTCAAGCAAACCCCCGTTTTCCAACGCACTCAGCGAACCTCGCCAGCATAAACCCCCTCCCACCTCTCCTCCACAGCAGCCACAGCCCTCTTGCTCGCCTCAATCTCCCGATCTAGCTCCTCCAAATTCTTGGTCAACGCACCCGCCTCCTCCAGCCTCCTCGCCCCCTTGGCACTCCTCAGCATCTCCTGCACCAAAAACCGCTGCTCCTCGAGCACCACGAGCCTCTCCCTGGCCTCCCGCTCCTCATTCTCCAGCGCCGCCGCGGCGCTGCTAACCTCGCTGGCCCCGCCCAGACTCGATGTCTCGGCGTCAACAAAACCCACCGCCGACTCGCCGTTTCGGAGCGGCGATGATGCGCTGTTGCCACCTGAGAGTAAATGCCGGTGGTTGTTAGAGAAGGAAGACTGCGACTTGAGCATGGCGGGCACGCTCTTCATGGGGAGCAGGTTAGCGTGCAAAAACGACGAGGCGGACGCATAGATGGCCCTTTGGAGGCGCAGCTGCGTCGGGCTGTCGGTCTTCATGTTGCGGATGCGCTTGGCGGCGAGGTCGTATTTGGCAAAGGCGTCGGTCAGGCGTTTGCGGATCTTGGCGGCTTCCTGGATCTGGGCCGAGGTCGGCGGTGGCCTGCTGTCAAGCCCGTCTCGGCTCTCGTCTGGTGGCTGCAGCGCCTGGAGGGATTTGTGGAACGAGGGCAGCAGCATGTGGATGCCGCGCTCGAATTGCCGGAGGGTCTCGTACGCGCGCTGATCTGGCGGCCGATGCTTGATGGACTCGATGAAGTCCCGGTGGGAGAAGATGGTGTGTTTGCACTCGCAGCACATCCGGACGTCGATGCTGACTTGCCCGTTTGCTGGTGCTTGTTTCTCAGATGTTGGTATCACGGTTGCTACCATCGTCAGCATTTATTCTTCTCGGCAAGACACGGCACTCACGGTTTTCCACGTTCAAGCCAACCTCGCTAGAGCAGTTGGTCTGCGGGTCGGCGCACACCACTCGGCCGCATATCCTGCAGTGATGGCGCCGAAACGTCCACGGCCGGAACTCCTGCTTGCAGAAGGGACACCTAGACACGGTCGCATCATCCTCCCAGGTCACCACCGACTGCTCAATCATCTTCCTCACACTCCGCTGCCCCGCCAGCGGAGACAGCAGGCCCGAGTTCATGCTTGCGTCCGGCGACGCCTCCACCAGCAACCGCGTCAATTTCGTCAACCTCTTCTCTAGCCTCTGCACCTCCAGCCGCTGCCTCTCCACCTTCTTTGCCCGCACCGCGGCAAACTCTGCCGTGCGATCGCGAGACAAGCCCGTGTGGTCGTTGTATCCATCCCTCGACTTGTAGCACGTCTCGCACACGCGGCACCACATGCCCCGGAACGGCTCGTGGTTGGCGGACCGGGAGAGCTTCATCTGATACATGGTGTGCTCCTCGCAAAACAATCGCCCGCAGCACCGGCAGTTGACGCTGCCGCTGAGCGGACCCAATTTCCTGTCGCACAGCGGATCCGTGCAGACGTCGTGGCCTGTTGGCCGCTGCCAGTGTTTCCGTGTGACCAGCTCGTCCGGGTCGACGACAGTCTCGGGCGGCCGACCGGGTGCCGCCATTCCAATCGATAATGGCTGTGTTTCGTTCGACTCAAATACTTCCAGACCGCGCAGTTTCTGGTTGATGAGCGAGAGTGGCTGGAACCGCTTGGCCTTGAGGACCTGCTTGTCGAACCACGACTTGACCTCGTCCTGTTCTGCCTCAGGCAGCTCCTGGTGTACGTCGTCGAGGTGCCGGTTCAGCTGCAACAGCGTGACCTGCACAATGTCAGCATTGTCCTTCCCTGACATGTTCTTTGTCCCACCATCTCCTCCTCGCAAATAGGGCACGCCAGCTTGTTTCCCCGCGCGGCGCCATCGGATGGCCCTGCCACGATAACATTGGAGGCGAGATCTTGGGAAAAGTCGGGGAGGGGGCTGGAAGATGACGGAGAGAGGGAGATGGGCGTCGAATTTTGCGAGTGTAGAGAGACGGTGCTGCGGTCCGAGGGAGCAAACGGGCTGGAAGCTCGAGGGGCATGGGTGGACGGCGGGGCGAGGCCCTTGCCGCTGCCGAGGACCCTGCCGCCTCCGAGTCTCCGCGCCGACATGGCTGTCACCCGCAGCGGACAGTTTTCGTAGAGAAGCACCCGCTCAAAAGCTCTATGTTATGGTGGGTGCGGGAAGTCGAAGAGACATGATGGCGTGTCGAATGCAGAACACCAAAGAAGCGATAATGCGGCGGTCGAGGTTGCAAGGATAGGGTTGGAGGTGATGTTGGCTTGGCAGAGTTTGGAAATCGGAATGGTAACAGATAGTGGGTCTTTCTGTGGGTCATAACCGCCTTATCGATGGCATTTCCCCCCAGCCAGAGCAACTCGCCCAATGGCGATAGAGTGCTTCTGAACTTTGTCTGTTCCGCGGAGCTCTCCAGTCGTCATGACTTTCTCCTCCGAGAAGCGGCAGGTTGCAAGCCGTCTCAGCTTCCATCTTGCTGAGAATCACAGCTATGGCTGAGACAGGCCAAAAGTTTCCCGAGGTGCAGGGCGGCGGGAGCCTGATTGTCGCGTGGCAGGTCAAAGGGAAGAAGGTGCTGGTTGTTGGCGGCGGCGAGGTGCGTTTGAGTCTGAATATCCCAAACCCAGTGTTCCACAGTGTTCCCTCTTCAAACCTCTGGTGGTGATACTGACAGATACCGACCAGGTCGCCGCCGGCCGCATCTTACACTGTCTCAACGCCGACGCCGCCGTAACCGTCATCTCCCCGCGCGCCCGCCTCAACTCGGAAGTAGCCTACCGCGTCGCGCACAACCAAGTCACGCACATCGACCGCAACTTTTTACCTTCCGACCTCGACGACGACGCCATATCCATGGTGCTCGTAGCCGTCGACGACCCGGCCGCCTCGACTACGATCTGGAAGCTCTGCAAAGAGCGGCGCATCCCCGCCAACATCGCCGACGTCCCCCCCGAGTGCGACTTCTACTTTGGCAGCGTGCACCGCGACGGGCCCCTGCAGGTCATGGTCAGCACCAACGGCAAGGGTCCGCGACTGGCGAGCATGATTCGCAAGTTCATCGCCAAGCAGCTTCCGTCCAATGCCGGGCAGGCCATCGAGACTGTCGGCCAGCTGCGGGTGCGGCTGCGGGAGATGGCGCCGCGGCCCGAGGAGGGGCCGAAGCGCATGGCGTGGATGTCCAAAGTCAGCGAGGCGTATCCCTGGGACGAGATATGCGGACTGTCCGAGGAGGACATTGGCAACTTGCTGCGGTTCTACCCGTCTGGCAAGGTGCCGTCGCTGGACGAGCTCAAGGCCATGCGGGCTAGTCCTGCTGGCAAGGATGTGTTTGATGGGTCGTTTGGGTTCAGTGTCGGCGCATGACAGCTGCTTTTCTCGAGTTGTAGGACTTGCTTGGGTTGAGATGAACATGATACCGCACCCCATATCGTACTGTGATCCCCTTTGACCTGTTTGGACATGGGGTCAATCAGGCCATGAAGATGCCGCGTTTCAGATCCAGCAGATCAAGAGTTTAGGACGGACAAGATATCATATCCCATATCCCCCAAAGGCAGTAGAACAAACCGCAACGCTAGGTGCAGAAAAAGCCCACACTGTGCACAGAAACCCAGACAGAAGCAGCTTCCAACACCATAATTCTTCCACATTTACGCAACACCCTCAACACCCCCCAAAAACCTCCTGACCCGCGCAATCTCCAGCTCGCCCCTCTCCGACTCGACCGCCCTCGTCAGCGTGTCCAGCAGCGCATCCACCTCCGCCTCGGGCCGGTGCGTGCAAAGCGCCACCAGCCGCCGGTACTTGAGCTCGCGGTCCTTGCTGCGCGCTCTCAGCGCCTCAACCGCCCGCTGCGTCTGCACCGACACCTGGCTGAGAGCGTTGACGCGCGCGCGGAGGACGGCCGCGTTCGGTAACCTCGCGAGTTGTTGCTCCTGATGATGATAGTCGGCGTTATTCTCTCCCGTTTGCTGCTGCTGTTGTTGCGCGATGCTATCCAGCACCATCTCGAGCTCCACCTCCCACGCGTTGGCGCTCGCCACGTCCAGCCTCCCGTGCCGCTGCTCGATCTGCAGCAGCTGGCACTCCTCCTCCTGGCAGGCCCGCTTGAGGTTGACCACTTTCTGTCGTGCCAGCTGCTGCGCCTTGAGCTTCTCCTGCAGCGCCTCGAGCGTGCGGCGCGCTTCGCCGACCTGGGCCGACGTCGTCCGTAACGTGGCGTGCAGCGTGTCGATGGATTCCTGCTTCTTCTTGAGCTCGTTCTGGAACAGTGAGGAAGATTCGCTGATGAGGTGTGTGATGGCTGGAAAGGTTAGTCAAATCCGACGGGAAGAGCAAGTGATGTGACTCACAATTCACCACCTCGTCGCTGTTCTCCCTCGTCTTTTGGCTCGAACCCTGAGCCCCGCCGTTCCCGTCCGCCTCGCCGTTCCGATGGCCCTCGTCCGCGCCGATACCAAAGTCTATCGGCCGTAGGCCTGCACGATTGGCAATGTTTGGGTCTGCGCCCACCTCGAGCAGCTGCGAAACAATGCTGCGGTTGCCGATGCGGGCGGCAATATTTAGCGCCGTGTCGCCGCTGCTGTCCTGCGCATTGACAATCTCGCTCATGAACCGGCCGATACCCATCCTGGCCGGCGCCGAGTAACTGCCACCGACGTTCTGGCTGCTCGGCGCGCTGCCCTGGCGCACAACCCACTCCAACAGGCTCTCGAGATAATAGCGGCTCGCCGAGTTCCTCCCCTTTACCGCGCTTGTCACGGAAATGTGGTGCAACACCGTCCGGCCCTTGTCGTCCCTCACATCAATCGTCACGCCCAGGACGTCGAGAAGCTCGGGAAACGAATTGTGGTCCATCGAGTTGGTCACGATGCAGGCCCGCATCAGCGCCGTTTCTCCTGCCGCGTTCACGCGGAACGGGCTTGCGCCGGCCTCAATGAGTGCCCGCAACAATGGCATCCGGGAGAGGGTGGCAGCCCAGTGCAGGGCGGTATGGCTCTGTGTGTCGATGGGAGCGTCGAGCTCCTGAGGGATCATGTTGCGCAGGACATTCCGTTTCGCCTCGTCCGGACCGCTGGGGTCCATGAATAACCCCATCAGCATGCTCCGCCTGGCCTCTGCTTCCGGCGACATGTCGTATGGGAGAGGCCGGAGCGGGCCGGGGGCGTAGTTGGGCTCGTGTTCGATGTGGACGCCCGCTTGAGAATAGATGAACGACTCGTTTGGCTCCGTGGGCGATCCTGGATAGTTTGCTGCGTATCCATCGATCTGGGGATATGTCGGCGTCATTCCTCCGAAACTGTGAGCTGGGGTGTGAATTCGTTGCCGTTTCCTAGGAGGCTGGTCGTTTTCGCCGGCCGCCAGTTGGGTGGCTTGGGATCCAAGGGCAGAATCGCCATGGCCATAGTCAGAGACGAAACTCTGTTGTGAATTTTGGGGAAATTCCCCATCCTGCATCGACGACTGTCGGTGGAAGCTGGGAGCCCGGCTAGGCCCGCTTCGATTTCGTGGCCCTGGCGAGTCGAACCGCGCTTTGCTGATAGCGTTTATGGCATGGGAGGCTGTGGAGGAGATGTTCTTGAAGAAGGTCCCGGACAGTCCATTGCCGCGATTCTCCTGCGAGCTCGCATTGTACATGCGCTTCCGCTGGGCCGCCATGGCCTGTTCCTTGGTCGGTGTATCGACATCAGCCCCTGCGCCCTCCTGGCCCCTCTTGTGCGTTAGGAGCCGCATCAGGATTTCGTCGACACCGTACTGCCGGCAGACTTCAAAGCCACGCTCGAACGGAATCCAGGTGCCCTGGTATTTGCCATAGCCGCCCTGCACCTTCTCGTGCTCGCCTGTCTGTATTTCCTTTTCGAGAATCTTGGTGCGACGGCCTTTATCCACTCCGGCGACCTTCAGGATCTGAGTGGCATTGAGCCAGCCATCGGCCTGGCGCCGCATGACGGCGACCCCATTGACCTCCATTTCGTAGACATTCACGCCAGAGTACACAGCCTGACAAGGTATTAGCGGCGCTGAAAGACATACTGAGTGGCAGACATACCGAGTAGATTCCCATGTCTGGGTCATTTTGCGGCTTCTGGGGCATATCGGCGTACTGCCGATACCCTGTCGTTTGCGAGGACGGCTGGCTCATGGAGAACGACTGCTGCGACGAGGGTTGTGGCTGTTGGTGTTGCTGCTGCTGCGACCCAGCAGGAATGTGTGGGGGCTGCATGTCGGACAATACCCGCGGAAGGGGTGATGGCGGTTGCAGGGAGAACGACGGGGAACCAGAATGCGAAAACGACAAGAAAAAGACGATGAGAGGCGGTCAAGTCAGCAGTCCATTGAGAGCCGACTGCAAGGTTTGGTGGTAAACCAGGTCGATGAAAGGTTGAGAAAAGACAATAGGTGTCGGTTCGGTGCGCAACTAATGAGCTTGTAATGGGATCGAATGGACGAGACGGGAGGTTAATGGTGCGAATGGGCGCTCACGAAGAGCGAGCGCAAACCGGTGCGTTGCAGTGGACCAGAAAACGGGATTATTGAGTCCATGCGCTTGCCGAGTCGCCTGCAGGAGAATGCGTATTGTTGACGGCGCCAAACAAAAACTGCGGTACAAAAATAAAAACTATCTTCAAAAGATGTTGCCGAGTGTCTACAATGCGGCAATGAACCTGGACGACGCTTAAAGCTCCCTTGTCAGGACGTCAATTAGACACGGACCGACGTGTAATTTTCGTGTTCTCGTGGTCGTGTTCTCTGCCAGTGGAGCCGGGAAGACGCGCGCTCAGATCACCTAGTCGGAGGGGCGGGGCTTGCGCATCTTGCGCATCAAGCCCAAGCCCCGCCAAGGCGCCAAGACAGTGGAAGTGCTCGAGCCAATCTCAAGTCTCGGATTACCTGCAGCTCGCAGCTCACATCTTGCGGGTGAGTTCATCATGGTCTGCCAGCGAGATTGCTTCTGGCAAGAGCTCACCTCAACCATGTCGCGCCCTTTTCGGCTGGCGAAACCTCAAAACCCGCTGCACCTGTACCGTCACCTGCTCCGTGAAGCATCATACCTCCCGCCTGTTGCCCGCCCGTTTATCGAAAAGCGCATCCAGTCCCGGTTCCAGAAGAGCAGAAAAGATGACGAGGAGCGGAGCGCAAAGCACATCGCGCAGGCGCACCACGACCTTCGCTTACTCCGGGCCGCGAACCTCGGCGACACGGCCCGCATGCGCCGCGTCCTGCTCCATGCGTTCGGCCGCTTAGGCCGCCGGCGTCGGGAGCTGATGGACCGGGTGATCCATCGCGACGTACCCACCGAGACCGAGGAGCTGCAAAAGTACGCCGCCGAGGCGTCTGCACTTGTGACCCAGGGAAGTAAATTGGACTGGCTGGATATGTGGGATGTTGATAAGCTGCGCACATACGCCCGCTCCCAGATGCAGGCAGGCTTGATCAATTCGCCCAAGCCAACCATCACGGCTTTCCAGATCACACCGGACAAAGTCATACCGACCGAGAACGCGTGGGGCCGGCCGCTCGCGCCCAAGCTCTACCGGACAAAGCTGAAAAATGTGTGGAAGGCAGTGGCCGACAAATGCATGCCGCCGCTTCCCAAGGAGCAATGGGAACAGCTCCGTGCCATCGCCACGGGCCAGGCAGAGGGGAACTGGCTGCCCCCTCCTCGACGGCCCGTGGCGCGAAGCTTGTATCCAGATGAGCAGACAGCCGAGTGGGACTGGCAGTCATACGCCATCAAGCCTGTTGCCGTCGTCGACCGGCCCGCCAACAGGCGCAACAAGCTGCTGAGCGGCGCGGTGGACGACAACACGCCCACCGGCGACCCTGAGCCACTCAATTGCCACAAATACACGGCACGGATGTGGCGTCGCTTGCTTGGAGGCATCTGGCAGCTGACCGCGACCATGGAGAAGAAGCCGGGCGGCCGTGGCTGGCACATCACTTGGGGAAAGGAAGAGTTTCGGCCTGCTCCGGCCAGCGCAGGTGCCATGGAGTTTTTCACGGATTTCCCAGAACCGGCGCAGCCCAAAGGTGGAGGCAAGGCGAAAACATGAGCAGCGATGCAGAGCCATTTGCCGATAATTCTTTTCTCAACTCACCAACCCGGCAAGCAGGGAAATTCCCTCTCTGACTCGACAGCTCGCGCTGTCGCCTCAGCCCAACAACGTCGCCAACTTATTCAGCCCCTCGCCATCCACGCGCATGCCCACCCACTCGCTCATCATCTTCGCCCCGATGCTCTCATAGAACTTGATCGACGGCTCGTTCCACTTGAGCACGCTCCACTCGAGCCGGCCGCCCTGCATAGCCACGACCTCCCTCGCCAGCTCGACCAGCAGGCGCTTCCCGTAGCCCTTGCCGCGCTCGCTTTGGCTGACGAACAGGTCCTCAAGGTAGATGCCCGGGCGGGCGCGCCAGGTGCTGTAGTTGTAAAAGTACAGGGCGATTCCCGCGGGGACGCCGGCCGGGGTGGTCAGGATCAGGCAGCGGGCCGGCTTGGAAGGGGAGGTGGGTTCGGTCTGCGGGAGGAGGCCGCTGGTGGCGGATGGGTCGGGGTTGTCGTCGGAGGAGAGGGCAAAGGCGATGGTCTCGAGCAGCTTGGCCTCGGTCGCCTCGACGCTGTCCAGCTCGTGCTCGTAGTCGGCCAGCTCACGGATAAGTTGGAGGATGGCGGGGACGTCTGGAAGAGATTCAGTCAGTCGAGGCAGACAGATGGATAGAGGGATAGGAAGGGACCTTCGCGGCGAGCATGCCGGACAGTTGCAGCGTTGGATGCCATGGCTGTGTGGGTTGTCGTGTTGTAGTTTGTTTGCGACGTCGCGTTTGCAATGTTCCTCGGCGTCCCCTGGACCTTTTATCAACCTACCGAATCCCGCCAGTTGCCAGTGTGGGTAAATAGGTATTGTGCCCCGCATCTACACATTGGCGGGGCCAGCCCCGTTCGCAAAGGGCGCGTCTGTCAAGAACAAAGCAGTCAGGAGGAAAGCAGCCCGAAAAAACACATTAATACTCGAGGAGCTCCTGGGCATGTTAGGGGAAGGGCTATCGTCCCATAGTAGAGAAGGTGTCGCTGCCTGCAGGTACTATTCCACTTGATCGACAATTAGATAACGAAGGCAAAAGCACTAGACCATCGGTTTAGAGATGTCTTGATTCTATCGATAATAACTCCTCTCGGTCCGTTTAGATCCCTCAGTCATCCTCCATCCCGCCAGACCTCAACCCATACAAACCCGACCCTGGTCCTTTGTTTACTGCGGAACTTAGGTAGGTACCTACGGAGTATTATACCTTATCTTCCTTCACTCTAATCTTCCTGTATTCTTTCTTTCTTATTCTTTTCTTTTTTCTCTTCCTCTTCCTTTTCCTCTTCTTGTTATCTTTAGTTATCTTCATCTAACTATATCTTTTCTTTCCCTTTTTAATCTTTTCCTTAATTATTTCTTTGTCTTCCTTATTTTCTTTTGTTCCTGATTTTGTCGTTCATGTTGAGGCCTGTGCCACGCTGAGGGTCCAATCCCCCATTGAGGTCGAGTTGGTAACGTCCTCTCTAGCTACATCACATTCCATAGAGTACATCAGAGGAATGGTCAAGACCATTGAACAGGCGCGTTCTTTACCGACCACCAACAGGAAATTGGCCCTAAACACGCAAGGCGCACCCAGGCCGTTATCTCCGAAATGCTACGGAAGCTCAAACTGACTCGGGACGCCCACTCGACCATGGCAAACCAAAATGTTGAGCTCACAAGAGCTAAAACAGGTTTGGGAGAGCCTCACAGCATCCAACCAATAGAACCCTCCACCACCGACAATGCTTACCACGTGGCCATCTGGAGCTCCTTAGCCCCCGTGGGATATGCATTGAGCCCCCCGTCGCTTGATAAAGAGAAAGAGGGAAGGAAAAAAAGAAAATAAAGAATTAGAGAAAGATAATTAAGGATAGAAAGAGAAAATGTAGGAGAAGGAGAAACAGAAGATAAAAAAGTAGAGGCAGAGGAAGAGGAAGAGGAAGAAGAGAGGAAGTTGAAGAGGATATAAATATAAGTTAGCTAACTAACGTTAACTTAAGTGAAAGAAAGGTTAAGGCACAATACCCAGGTTCCACGCTAGCAAACAAACAACGATTGGTTTGTAGAAGGTCGGTAAGCTGTGCAACCAATGACCACTGCAAGTTACGGTTAGGCGGTTCCCCAGTTGAGCTGCAGATCAGGGTGGCCTGCCCAACGTCAAGCGGGGCATTTCAGCTTCAGCCTTCATCCACCCGCCGTTTCAATCCCTTTCACATCCCAGATGGCGAACAACAACAACCTTCGAACAACCTCCAGCTCACGAGAGAGGCAGCTTTTCAGGACATCCCAGTGGCCAGTAACCGAGTTCAGGCGATATAATACCGGAGACAATTTCCTCCAGCAGCTTGGGGAACCTCCACGGGTTCTGAACCGAGCAACGGGAGCACAGTCGAGGATCGGTTCTCGCATCGCACCACCATGAGCGCCTCAACCTCACCATCCATCGAGCCCCTCGTCACTTTCAGCTCGGGCCGCGATGGTAAAACGCCCCCGGACCTGAGGATACTGCACTACAACGATGTCTACCACATCGACCCCTCGTCGGCCGAGCCCGTCGGCGGCGTTGCCCGCTTCGTCTGCCTCTGCAAAGAGTATCGCGAGGCCGAGCGATTCGAGGACCAGCCTGAACTGGTCACGCTCTTCTCGGGAGATTCGTTCAACCCATCCCTCGAATCTAGTATCACCAAGGGTCAGCCACACTGCTCACTCCGACGATATTTTGTTTACCACTACTTACACCACACAGGAAGCCATATGGTCCCTTTGCTGAACCTGATCGGCACCGACTGCGCCGCTGTTGGGGTATGTCAGTCATTTGTTGCCGAGTCCAAACACTAAAACCCTCCAGAATCACGACCTCGACTTTGGTGTGAGGCAGTTCCAACACCTCAGCTCCAAATGCAACTTCCCATGGCTGCTAGCCAACGTGATGGACCCGGCCCTGGGCGAGGGCGTGCCGCTGGGCAACGCCAAAAAGACGCACATGATCACCACCTCCAACGGCATCAAGATCGGCCTGCTGGGGCTCGGCGAGCGCGAGTGGCTTGAGACCATCAACGCGCTCCCGCCCAACATCATCTACCGCTCCGCCAGCGAGGTCGCCCGGGAGCTGGTGCCTCAGCTGCGCGCAGAGGGCGCCGACATCGTTATCGCCCTCACCCACATGCGCGAGCCCAACGACAACAAACTGGCCGCCCAGCTCGGCGGCGACATGATTGATCTCATCCTGGGGGGCCATGACCACTTCTACGCCCACAGTTTCATCAACGGCACCCATGTCCTGCGTTCGGGGTCCGATTTCAAGCAGCTCAGCTACATCGAGGTGCGCCGCGCTGAGGAGGGCAGCGGGCGGAAGTGGGACGTGGATATCTGGCGGAGGGATATCGTGCGGGCGGTCCCGGAAGACGGCGAGACGCTGGCCCTGATCGAAAAGCTAACAGCTAAACTCAAGAAAAGTCTCGAGAAGCCTGTCGGATGGACGGCCGCGCCGCTGGATGCGAGGTTCACCACCGTGCGGCTGAAGGAGAGCAACCTGGGGAACTTTGTGTGCGACATCATGCGCCACCATTATGGCGCCGACTGCGCGCTCATGGCGGCCGGGACCATTCGCGGCGATCAGGTGTACGCACCCGGCCCAATCCGGGTCAAGGATGTGACGGACTGCTTTCCGTTTGAGGACCCGGTCGTGGTCATGAAGGTGACGGGCAAGGGGATATGGGACGCGCTGGAGAATGGCGTGTCGCTATATCCCGCGCTAGAAGGTATCGTCTCTGCCAAAATATGGTCTGCCGGCATGCTACAACATGTACTCGAAACTGACACCATGCAGGCCGTTTCCCGCAGGTTAGTGGCATTGCCTTCAAATTCGACCCGTCCCGCCACGCCGGATCTCGCATCGTGTCGGCCGAAATTGGCGGGCTGCCGCTGGACCATGACCGCATCTACGTCCTCGCCACACGCGGGTACATGGGTCGCGGCAAGGACGGCTACCGTAGCCTGTTAGTCCGGCCCGAGGGCGGCGAGTGCGAGGAGCTCGTGTCCGAGGAGAACGGCATGCTCATCTCGGCCATCCTGCGCCAGTACTTTATGTCACTGACCGTGCTGGCCAAGTGGCAGGGTTGGGAGCCGTCGCTGGACCGTCACTGGTAATGTTCTGCGCTTGTTCGTCTTGTCCAGCGTGTAAGGCTGACGGTTTTGTTGTGCAGGTCCAAGGTCGCCGACGGCGTTGCCAAGTGCCACCCTACGGTGGCCCCATCTCCCGTCAGTCCAACCGAGGGGCGATCCCAGAGCGGATCGGGCGGAAAGGGTTGGGCCGAGTGGACCCCGTCGAGGATCCGCCAGCGGCGCGCTAACATCCCGCCCATGGCCGGCTCCGCCGAGGACAACGACAGCGACAGCGAGTCGGGCGAGGAGCAGGAGGCGGCACGGCAGCGTGCCGTCATCCTCGACAGGGAGCTGGCCATTATGCGCCGCGTGTTTGGCAAGTGGTGCCGGCTGGCCGGGGTGCAGGCTGGGACGTGCGATTCTCTGCCTGCTGAGGAGTGCGAGGTGGCGTGGACGAGACCGATTGCGCCGCAGGTTGAGGGGCGTATCCAGATGGTCAACGCCACTGCTGGCTAAGGTTGTAGGCAAAACGTTAACATCCGGGTGTGCGCGAGTCAGGAGCGGCAGCCCCCGCAGGTTTCTGCTCAGTGGGCTAGACCAGCTGGTGGGATGTGATAGAACGACCGTTGCTGCTGTCCAGGCATACCCCTTGTGGCGATGTCTGAACAGGTGCTGCTGTCCATTGCTGTTCGTTCACTTCACCTTTCCACTGCTTGAACAAGATCTGTTGGTTGCCACTTTCTCGCTCCGGCAACCGCGTACGCTGGAAACTTCGGCGATATCTTCCGTCTCCGTCAAACCCACATCTCGCGGCTCTGGGAAGCGTCATCCCTCGTACAAAAATCCTCCATTTCTTTGGACGGCGAATCCACATCCTCGCACAAGGTCGTCCGTCAATATGTCTTGGCAATACTAATCACATGGATGCCGACTCGGGGAAGTTGATCCGGGGAATGCATGGCATGCCACCGGACTTGTCCCCGGATCTGTGATCTCCTGCAGTTCCATTTTCTCGACGCGACCTCGTTGACGAAGCCAAATTCACTTGGCAGCCGCGGCTGTGATGCGCACAACAACAGTCCATCATGTTTGAGATGGTCGCCCAGCCGTCTGGATTGAGTAATTTTCTTGGTTATCGGCAAGACTCGAAGAGGATCCCCAAACCTGAAAGCACCTGCATCTCGGTTTCCAAAGGAGGCCCAGAAGAAGATGCATTCTTGGCATCTTGGCCATGAAGGTCTAACAAAGGGACCAACCCGTCGTCGTCGGGCCCGTGGGCCTCGGCTGCTGGCTGGGGTGTCGACCCAGAGGAGCTTGGTGTCAGTGCGGGGAAGTGGGGAGCTCGCAAGCCCACACTGTTTCTTGCAGCATGCAAGCAGACGCATCATGTCATCACACCGGCCATCTTTTTTCCGCTGGATTTCGCCGAGGCTTTTGGCCGACGTACTCGGCTCTCGGCCTGTGAAAGACTGCAAAGTGAGGATTCAGCAAGACCAGGACAGAACAGACAGGCACACCACATTCGGAGATGGGGGACGAATTGAGCAAGCTGCTCGTTTCCAAGGAGCATTGTGTCATGCGGAATGGGGTGTGCGAGGTCCCTTGTGATGGCCACCACGGTTTGATCCGATGCTGCACTCAGGGTTGTCCCGGTTGGCATTGTCACGGTCTTTGCGGTTGCCTGTTGGAGATGCTCGACTGATATCCTATCCCTGGAGCTGCCAACTTCTCGGCTGATCCTTCTAGACGACTTCTAAGCATAATACAATACCAACATTTCACGAAGGCCACTGTCCTGCCAGACGCCACTGCGGAGGTTCACGGAAGCTCACCTCCCACCTCAAACTGCAGCACGCCGGGGCGACGGACGAGTGCCGACGCCATATATGGTGCCTCCCGTCATTCGTATATACCCCGGACTTCCCTTGTCAAGGTTCTCAAAGTGCGTAGACTCTGTCTCGATCACACCCTCGAGAGCTGCGCGTATTTCCCACTTAACCAGATCCTTCGACTGAAATAACCCGTTCCGAATGACGGGAGTGTCCGTCGGCCGCTGGGGGCGATAAGCCGCGTTTCCCTCCGACACCGACGACACACACACACACACCATGAGAGAGCCGCCGTCCGAAGTCGTGGCCACATGGCCGGCCCCAAACTACACCGACCCCGTCACCCGGGGCCCCGAGCTCGTCATTGTTGAGCTCGTCTTCCTGTTCCTCGGCACGTTATGTCTCGTTCTTCGCATCTACGTCCGGGCCGGCATCATGGGCAGGATGGAGGCGGACGACTGGCTGATGGTCGGCGCAGCGGTGCGTGCCAGTTTCGGTTTCTTCATCCTCTCTCTCTGGCCGGACAAGATCTCAATGGCTAATCCCACCCCCCGGCACATGAGCAGATCTTTGGCGCCGGAGTCACCACGTGCGTCCTGTTGGCCTTTCTCCGCTACGGCTGGAACATACACATCTGGGACTTAACGTTTGACAAGATGGTCGCGGGGCGTCAGGTCTCGTTCGCTGTCCAGGGCCTGTTTCTGCTGGCCACGACCTTGGCCAAGGTCTCGATCCTCGTCAGCTACCTGCGGCTGGCCCCCTTGAACTCCGGGTTCCGCCGAGCGACATTCGCTGCTCTCGCCTTTGTCATCATCATCAACGTCGCCTTCTTTATCAACCTGTTTGTTCAGTGCGTGTAAGTGAGACCGAAGTACAGATATTGCTTGGGGTGGGGGGAGCTTCAGTCACAGAGAGTTGACAGACATAAACTTTGGCAGCCCAGTGTCCAGCTACTGGGACCTCACCCGCACGGAGCGCGACTGCAATTCCGAGGACCACCATCTGCTCGCCAATGCCGCCCTGACGGCCGTGGCCGACTTCATCGTCTGGGTGGTGCCATTGCCGGCCATCTACTCGGCCAAGATACCGCGGCAGCAGCGGCTGGCGCTGATCGCGCTCTTCAGCTTCGGCGTCGTCGTTGTCGTGGCGGCCTGCCTGCGCGCCTACTGGATCCACTACGTCGTCCAGGTCACCTACGACGTCACCTGGTGGGGGGTCTACCTGTGGATGTGGACCGCCGTCGAGGTGCAGCTGGGCATCATCTGTGGCTGCGTGCCGTGGCTCCGGTCACTCGTCAAGTTCTGGAGGAGTGGGAGGATGGTCTCGGACCTGAGCCACGACTGCAGCTACAGCGTGGACCGACAGCACAACTGGCGCCGCTCCGCCAGGCGGCAGACGATATCTGGAGACACCACGGTGTTGAAGGCGGGGCCCGTGGTGAGGTTGAATAGCTCGTCGTCGTCGAATGGGGGGATCGGAGAAGGGGGAAGGGCGAGCGTATCTAAGCGGGGCAGCTCGATAAGGATGGATAGTCTGGCTTCAAAGGACGAGGGAGGAGGAACAGGAACGGCAGGTGGCGAAGGAGACTTCATCGACCTTGAGAGGGGGGAGGGTTCCAGCCTCCCGGGTGTGCCACCGGTTGCGTTCCCAGAGCCTGCCCTCGTTGGGCCGCTGAGTACTCCCCAGCTGCTGCCGACTAGCACCCCAGGCTTAGCGTTATGAAGTGCCAATGCCATGACTTTGGAATGACTTCCAGTTGATTGTATCTTGTCCGGTGCCGAATTGTGATGAAAGTTGGAGGCTGATAAGATGGCCATCATCGACACAACATTCAAGACGGTTCATGTGGTGAAAAAACCAACTGGTCGCCGGAACCGGGGGACGTTTATTGGATACCCTCGAGGCTCTCGGCAAATGCGGACGATCAGGAACACCAGGAACAGAACCAGTAACCGCCGTTTTCGTCTGGGTCAACAACCAAGTGAACATGGACTGACGTCAACGTCCCCTGGGGGCCTGTGTTCAGTTGACACCAGAACTGCCAATCCAACCCCCGCTTTCTCGGCGGGGCAGCGGCCCGGGTCTTATCCTCGTGCTGCTGGCCAGCCTCGACCTTAGGCGGCACGACAAGACTGTCTTGATCCGCCGCCTCATCAGAAGTGGGCTGAGGAGGGATACGGGGTAACCCGGTGTTTCGTCGACGATGCCATGTACAACATGATGGGGACGCCGCCTACTGCCATTGCATAGCTGGAGAAGGTGCCGGAATGCTCGGCAAGCTTGGCCTGGTTGTGCGGCCTCCTTACACCTGCTGCTATCGCAGCACAGTGCTAACATGCGACCAAGCGATACCTAGTGGAAGTGTGGCCAACAGCCGAGGAGTCCTCGACGCAATCAGGCCCTATCCAAGGAGTGTGGGATCCATCTTCTATTGCTGTTGCCCGACAGTTGAACCTCCCGTTCCGGTGCGTGCACACCTACCAGGGACCCTGCAGGGGTGGATGCACACTTCATTTCAGCAACCGGGCGATGCAGCTCTGAAGCTGGAGAGCAGGACGGTGGGAATCGACCGTGTTGTTAACGAGTTCCAGTTCACCTGCACCCACGACCGAGTCACTGACTGGCAGTATGGACCCGGAACCGTGCTAATGCGCATGTCCATGCCCATTGCTTGGTGGTAGTTAACGGCTGACAACATCAGTGATTCCAGAATCACTGGCATTCCTCCGACGTCCAAGAAGCTGAATATCCTGTTCACGAGCATCGTCAACGTCCGCGGAGACCGACTGTGCCACGAGCACCTCCCCTGGGACCATGGTACTGTGCTCCGGCAGCTGGGCCTGCTCCCCAATTACCTGACGTTTCCGTAAGCGGTTCCAGGGAGGAAGCCAGAGAAGGGGAAGCAGTTCGAGTATCGAGTGCCCCGTTGCGGGCGAGGAAACAGCGAAGAAGCTGGTTGATGAGAATGCATGGGCATCCAACGGGATGATGGGGTTTGCCCTCCGAGAGGCGACAAGGAGAAGCACAGATGGTTGCGCTCAGGTACAGAGCGTCAGGACTGCGAAGTGAGGTTTACGGTAACCCCCGATTGTTGAATGACGAAATGGTCAAATCGCAAAAGTAGGTGTAAACAAACAGCCGGGCTCAGGTTCCGCTTCCCAAGTGTGGTTCATCTCTGTTAGCGTCGCACATGGCAGCCCTGGTTGGCAAAAGGAAAAAAGGGAATTTAAAGGAAGAAGGTAAGCGAAGTAGGAATTGCGAAGATGGAAGATACAGAGGAAAAGAAAAGAAAGAAGGGCAGAAGCAATCTAAGCAATAAGAAGGAAGAAATCTAAGTAAAAGGAAGAAGAAGGAAGAAGCATGAGACAGAGAGGGTGAATACCAGACAGCGGTCTTGTTATCTGACCAAGTTCAGTGGCTAACAGACCAACCATGGTTGAATTGTGCACCGGAGCATCGATCCGAGGACTGTGCGCGTCAGTTCGTCTTAACTTTCTTCATGAATAGGATTCGGAGGAGAACACCGTGACCACCAAACGTCATGATGGACAGAGCCCGATCGCAGCATTTGCCAAACTGCAGGCTTCTGTTCGGAACGCGAGCAGTGAGAGACACAGTGTGGAGTTAGCAAACTGCGAGCAGACTCTGCAAAACCTCACTTTCCCACACTGTTTCGCCCTGCTCAGTCACGGGTTAGGTCACGTTTCTCCCAGCTGGGCCTAGCGTGGCGTTCGACTATCCACGACCTCGCCGAAACTTTCAAAAAAAGGCAAGTTCCAGTCTCTGCGCAGTCCGTCTCAAAACCTTGACTTTTCAGCCCGCGAAATTGATTTTTACTGCACACATCAGCGCCTGCAAGCTCACTATTTGCATTACCTACTTTGATCCCGCGACACAATCACCCTCATCCCACATTTTTCTGTCCCGCAACGGCCCAAAACCATGCCTCAGCTAACATCGAGCTTTGCCTCCGCCGCCGCTGGCCAAAACCGAGACTCAAGAGGAACTGGACGAAGCGATTCTGCCCGTGGCTCTGGAAGTGGTGACTGGTGAGTTGGTCCTCAACCATTCCTCTGTTTACGTTTTTGCGATAAGACCCCGCGTGTCCCGACCGCGTTGGCCCATGGCCGCGGTACTTCAACAGAAGTTTTGACCCGAGCTCAACTCGATACGAGTTTGCCAGGTCCAACCGCGGTTGGGGCACGTCAGGAGAGTCAGGACTAGGGCATCTGTGGACTGGACAGTGCTGAGTATATTACAGGCCTCGCTCAAATGGCACCAGAACCTTCCGCCGCCCCTCTACCACCCCTTTCAACCAGTCATCCGCGAGTCCCGCCGACGTGTCACATCCTAGCAACAGCGATCTCCCGCTCTTGTCCGCTACTCCCTCGTCTGCTGCCTTCGACTCGCCCAACTCGCTTCGCTACACCCGAGAGGAGCTATTGGACATCTACAAGAACCATTTTGAGCCGTCACAGATTGACACAGCCGACCTGCTCGTGCCCACCTGGAATCCTGCCCAGACGAACGGGAGCCATCCTCGACCGTGGGGCAAGCCGTCCGACTCAGTGCACGTCCCACAGGACCCGAGTGTGTGTTGGGACGCGAACGGCACGGTGAAACCCATCAGTTTTGAGGATTTGTCGGCCGAGGAGCGCGAAATGTTTGCCACGGATGTGAATTCGACTCTGAAGCCACCCCAGCAGGCCAACAAGGAGGGGGCCCATCCCGGCTCAGGAGGGGTCAACGGGCGGAAAGCTTCACTTAGTATTGGGAACGCCGCAAACTACCAGACGTCGTCGCCATCAACAACCTCGCGACCCGGCACCCGCCGGAGAGAAACGGCCGATACAAATCCGTTCCCGGTAGGATCCGCCGCGTCTCCGACAGCGAGCCGATTCATGCGGGACGATCCTTGGCTTACCCGGCGGAGCACCGATATCAAGGAAGCTATCTCCGACGAACCCGAGGAAGATTCGAGCGCGCGTGAGGCCACGCCGACCAGGTCACAGCCCTTCACACTGTCACGCAGCAACACTGCGGGTGCTTCGGGCTTTGGCAGCCAGAGCTCTTTGTGGGGACCCGGGGCTGCGCCAACGAGCGGCCTTGGCGCCTTCGGAAGCTTTGCGCTCCCGACCCCCGGTATTGGAGACAAGCGCCTTGCCGGTGGCAGCCGCCTCGCCCACCTTATCCCTAAGGACTCGGCGGACAATGCGAGCCCCAAGCCCAGCGATGCCCCAAGCTGGCGGCCTCGTCAGCGGACTGATACGGATCCTTTTGCCGGAGATGATGTCCCTTCCGGCAGCGCTCTCTTGGGCGGCGCCCTCGACGACAGCCCCCCGGCCCCGTCTGCTCAGCGCCAGCGTGGTGGGGTTTTTGACACCCCTGTTAAGGGCAATGCTGGAGACTTTGGCATGGCCGGGCTCAATCTGGGCAACCAGGGAGACAACAACGGCCAGACGAGCCCCTCCGAAACCAATCCTTACCGCAGTCCGCCCGCCGACCGCGCCGACGAGGGTCACGGGGAGCACGAGGCCGAGCGTGTCGCTCAGGCAAATCAAGGCTCGGACCAGCACTCCAATTTTGGCACTTTCCCCCGCTCCTTCGGCGCTGCAGCGTTCGACGGCAGTGACCGTAGCCAGACCTCGAGTGTTGGCGCCAAGGGATTTGCAAGTCACAACCCGCTGTCGGGCTGGCCTGCTGGACCGTCAGTGAGCACGCCTGACCGTGAGCGCGCTTCCTTCCAGCACGCCTTTGGCGGTAGCCTCTTCAGTCCCTTGGCCGATCTCCCTTCGCCCGGTATTGCTGGCTTGGGTGGTGTGTTTGGACCTCCCAGCACCTCGAGATTAGGGAGGGGCAAACTGGAGTCGCTGTTTCCCCCAGCCATGCAGGCGCAGATGCACGGCCATGACCAAGACAGCCTCGGCGACTCGGTCACCGAGTCTCGACAGGGCAACCCCCTCGGTGCCATTGGCCGGGGCCCAATTGGGCTGCAGCGTGATACCGCTAGCCCGGTGAGGTCTGTAAGGAGCGGCTTCGAGGATCTGTTTCCAACCTCAGAATCCACTCGGTCGCCCTTCTCCACTGCCGAGCAGGCTCAGCCCGGCCTTGCGTCGACCACCCAAGCGCCATCGTTCCCTACGACCACTGCTGGCGGAGCATCGTTCACATCCACCCAGCCGGCTGCCGACCCCACTGCCGTTAGAACCATGGTGATGCCGGACCGCATGCGCTGGGTTTACCTGGATCCCCAGGGCGTGATGCAGGGGCCCTTCAGCGGGCTAGAAATGAACGATTGGTACAAAGCCAATTTCTTCACGGCTGACCTGCGTGTCAAGCGTCTCGAGGATCCCGATTTCGAGCCCCTCGGTCAGGTCATCCGGCGCATTGGGAATTCACGGGAGCCCTTCCTCGTCCCTCAGATCGGCATTCCTCATGGTCCCCCTCCGGCCCCTGGCCCTTTTGGCGGCTCGGGCTCTGAGGCCGTTCCGCCGCTGCAGAGTGCGTTTCCTTCGTTTGGACGCACCCTCACAGCTCAGCAGCAGAACGAGCTCGAGCGCCGGAAGCAGGAGGAGCAAATGTACCACGCCAGACAACGCGAGCTCGCCCAGCAACACGCTACATTTGGCAGGCTGCCACCCATCCAGCCCGTCGCGCCCGGTGCTCTGCACCACCATTCCAGCGCCCACAGCCTGCAGAGTCAGCCTAGCTTCGGCAGCATAACCTCGCCGATCGGCATGACCCCTCAACATCCTCTTGGGCCTATCGCTCCCGGAACAGGCTTTTTTGACTCGGCCGCAGCCATTGCCCCCGGTCCTGTACAGGCCCCTATCGGACCGGCGCCGGCCGACATGTTTGCTCCGGATCTCAACTTTGGGGAGCGTCAGTTGCTGGCCAGCATGCAGGCCACCGGAGCGCTGCCTGGCGCCTTTCCGAGCAACCAGGCCGTCGGTGGTCCAGTCGGCGAAAACAGCGGGCTCCGCAGTCAGCTTCCCAGCATCGACCAGCTTCAGAAGGACTCTGAGGGATTCAGCGAGCGACTTGAAGAGTTCCACCAGCTGCGGGCACAGTTTGATGCCGAGGAGGCCGCCGCTGCGGGCACATTAAAGGTAAAGGAGGAGACGGCACAGCACGAGGAGCAGGTGGCCGCCGCCGCCAAAGACGTCGCTGCGCCCGCATCAGAGTCTGCTGAGTCGACCAAGGATGCCGGAGCGCAGGGCGAGCTCACTCTTACCGAGAAGGTCCGCAAAACGCAGGCCGACCATGCAAAATCATCGCAGCCGCAACCGGCTTCCGATCTCCCGATGCCCTTTCCTCCGCCGGTGCAATCGACCCCTCTGGCAGCTCCCACCGCCCAGCGCCCCGCTTCCGGTCTGCCGGCAAGATATGGCGAGCGCTCCGCTTCGGGCACGCCGGACACCACTTCTGAGGGGGCCGCTCTGGCGCCACCCCCCACTGCTCCGTGGGCGTCCCAGGCTGGAGCCGAGATGCAGAAGGGTCCGAGCCTGAAGGAGATTCAGGAGGCCGAGGCAAAGCAGGCCGCCAAAAAGCAAGAGGCGGCGGCTGCTGCCAGAAGAGCGGCTCTAGAGCAGGAGGCTGCGGCGATCCGCGAGCGTGAGAAGGCCGCAGCGGCCGCCGCGAACCCCCTTCTGCCTGCTACCAGCACCTGGGGTACCGGATCTCCGGTGGGCGCTCCTGCTGGCAGCCCTTGGAAGCAACCGGCTGGTCTCAAGAGCGGCGTTGCCAGTGTGGGCCCAGGCAGCAACGGTACCAAGAAGACGCTGGCCGAGATTCAGCGGGAGGAAGAGGCGCGCAAGCAAAAGGCCAGGGAAGCCGCGGCGGTTGCGGCGCAGGCAAGCACACCCTCTGCCGCCACCATGGGCAAGCGCTATGCGGACCTCGCGGGCAAGAGTTCGGCATCGCCGAGTCCCATGTCTTTTGCAGCAGCCCAGCCCAGCCTGGGCGGCGGGTGGGCAACCGTTGGAGCGGGCGGCAAAGTTAAGGTCCCGACGGGTCCGGCGGTGCAAAGCCGGTCCGCCAGCGTCAGCATCAAGCCGTCTCCGCCGCCCGTTGCCGCGAAGCCTGCGCCGAAGCCGGGGCCGACGTCGCTGAAGGATGCCAAGAGCCTGGCCATGGAGGAATTCAAGAAATGGCTGCACCGGGAGTTGGCGCGCGGCCTTATTGGGGTCGCCGACAGTGAGTTTTTTTTTCTGGGTATATGACTCCAGGTGGTGCATGTGGCTAACACGTTCTCCTTTATAGTCGAGCAATTTGCCGCCACCTTGCTCGAAATGCCCTTGGACCCGTCGATCCTCGCCGAGGCCGTGTACGGGTACAGCACGACCATGGACGGGCGCCACTTTGCCGACGAGTTTGTGCGACGCAAGAAACTCGCCGACAAGGGTATCGTCGAGAAGGAGCCTGTCAGCGCGGCGGCATCGGCGAGTGGCAATGGCGGCTGGAACGAGGTCGCGAAAAAGGGCAGCAGCAGCAGCAGCAGCAGCGGTGGTGCGATGTCCAAGGTGGAGGATAGCGCCATCCCTGGGTTCAAGGTTGTGCCGAGCAAGAAGAAAAGCAAGAAATGAGGTGGTTCTGTGGGGTCTAGCAGACAGCGTTTTGCAGGGCTAGCTGAGCGTGATATGTGGAAGGGGGAGCAAGAAGTAAATGCCCGCGTGACTATGGCATTCAGCGATTGTATGGAATCCCTAGGTATGCATGTACCTAGAGTGTGGTAGTGAGGTAGCGGATAGCTATAGGAACTGAGTGGTCACTAAAAGGTATCTGACTTTGTGGCTGCGATGTTGATTATGATGCTGTTGCTCGGCGAGGGAATCGTGTTGTGTTCTCACTCCCCAACACCTCTCTCTGCACCCAACCTGAGCACTTCAGCAGCGTTATCTAATCGCCAATTCCCCCACCATTCAATGCCCCGCTTTATTTTTGAATCTGGATGGAAATTTGGACTGCCCCTCCATCACCCTTCACAGCAGTTGCTCTCCATTGTTAGGCTCTGGCAGGACCACTGCACGGGATTGCTAGGGCCTTCGCTTACATTTGTGTTCTTTCCACACCCAACCAGAATTTTCCCCTTGTCCTTCTTTTTCCCTTCTCTCCCAAGTCACGCGTATCATCCCCCAAACCTTGGAGCTTCACTCCTGAAAGCCCCGAGAACAAAAGCAAACTGTTGTTCTGGAGACAAAATGGCCGACTCGACGCCATCCCTTGCCGAGTGGCTCACGGCTGGGCGGTACCTGGACGTCTTGCTCAGCGATCAAGCCGCCAAGCTGATTGCCGAGTTTGTTCGGTCGCTTGCTGTCTTGCAGCAACGCCAGGAGCAGCAGCAGGAACGAGCAGCCTTGTCCCCGTCACCATCGGCTTCAGCAGATCACCAGGCAGTGAACGACACCGGAAATGGTGATGGAGAGGGTTATGGGGGTGGAGATGGATCTGTCTCGGTGCGTGACAGGGTAGCTGTTGGCCTGGCGGCGCTGAACGCCTTTCTGCAAGGCAATGTCACGGGGCCAGTGCTGGAGGAGAAGAAGGTGCGGGCGCTGCTGCAGGAGAAGTTTCTCCGCCAGGGCCAGGCGGCGTTCGGTGATACGCTTACGCAAAAAGGGCTGAGGAAGGCTTGTCTGCGGTCGCTGGAGGTGGATGGCGTCTCGGTGTATGAGCTTGTCCCGCTGGTGGAGGTGTTTTGTTTGGCGCGTTGGATTTTTGTTGTTATCGGTGGTAGTGGCTTTGCTGGTATTGAGCGACAGGGACGACAGCAGGTTCTGGGGGAGGGTGAGGGGGGAGGAGTGGAGAGGTCGACGAGTTGGCTGGCGCTCAGGGTGCGGGTGTGGCATTACAAGCTGCTGACGCAGCCTAGTCTGGGGCCGGGGAGTGTTTTCAACAAGGCCTCGCAGTGGTGTGATGTGCCGAGCTTAAGGGATGGGATTGAGAAGGGGCTGGAGGAGGTGGGCGCTGAGGTGCTGGGGGATGGAAGTCACTGGAGCAGGGTGGAGCAAGTGCAGTTTCTGGTGGAAAAGGCCAATGTGTGCATCATCCTGGGGCAGGACGTCAGGGCCAGGGAGGCGCTGCGCAAGGCGACTGGGCTGAGCGGGTTTGTTTACGCACTGTCGGGTGCGCTGGGGAAAAGGACGAGGTTCCAGGAGAAGAGCACCAGCCAGCTGGTGGTGCTGGCGAAGAGCGGGGAGACGGTGGCGACGGGGAACGATAATCAGGCGAGACCCCAGGCGTTGGCACTCAACGATGACACGCTGCTGGAGAGTCTCGAGTTCACCAAGGAGAAGACGGAAGATGAGATGTCTGAGCTCCCTGCGGCGTTGCGCGATCTCGCACCGGACGAGCAGCCGCAGCTGTCGCCGCTGGATCAGATTATTCTTCTCGCCGAGGCCACCCTGACGGACGCCTTCTCCCCAGCGGACACGCTGACCGCAGAGGAGGTGCTCCCCTTTGCCGTCCGGGTCATCTCGGACAAGTCTACCAACTGGCAGATCTACACGCACGCTCTCCTTGTGCGCTCGCGGATCGAGGTGCATAGGAGCAGAACCGTCGAGAGAGGCGTGCTGCAGATGCAGGCTGTTGTGGATCAGGTCATCGTTGACACCACGCAACCCTCCGAGACGACCAGGGCAACTGGAGAAGTTTTGGAAGCTGCCGTCCCGGAAATCCATGTCACAGCGGACGGAGACGAAGCACACCAGCCCGCCAACAAGCCCACCTCCTTTTTTCCCGCGCCAATACCTACCGAGTCGGCCCCAGCGCAGGTCCGCCTTGAGCACATCCATGCGCTCAGCTCGCCGCCCCGGTGGCACCTCGAGTCGGAGCTGGCCTATTCGTGGGCCGGCGTCGGCTCGCTGGTCTCGGCGCTCGAAATCTTCAAGAGGCTCCAGTTGTGGGCCGAGGTCGCCCTCTGCTTTGCCAGTAGCGCTGCCAAAGACGACGAGGGCGGACGCGGCAGCAACGGAGAGGCGAAAGCCAAGGCTGTCTTACGGTGGCGGCTGTTTCACAAGACTGAGAGGCCGACCGACTACTACCAAGGCGCCGTGGAAGAGTCTGACGAGGAGGTTGATTTGGATGATCTGAAGGAGGCGGATTACCGCGGCCCTGAGCGCCAGCCACCAACCCCTAACGCGCCCCGGCTGTGGTGCATCCTGGGCGATATCGAAAATGACCCGGGGCACTACGAGAGAGCCTGGGAGATCTCAAAGCACCGGTTTGCGCGGGCCCAGAAGTCGCTGGGCGAGTACTACCTGCAGCAGAAGAACTTGCAACGGGCTCGGGAGGCCTACCAAAAGGCCGTCGCGGTCAACCGATTGAGCGCGGAGCTCTGGAACCGGCTGGGCGACATCAGCCTGCGGCTGGGCGATTTCTCAGATGCCGCCGAGGCGTTTAGCCGGGCCATTGCCGTCTCAGATAACATCTCGGGCGGCGAGGACGCCCGCACATGGAGTAACTTGGGCAGCGCCCTCTACAGTCTTTATGTAGAGCGTGTTAAAGAAGTCAAGCAACAAAAGAAGGAAGCCCCTCCCGTCGTCGACAACACTACCATCAAAGCAAGGGCGGCAGATGACGAAGAAGAGGACCACGACGCACCGGCACCCAAACCTGATTCCTCCGACCCGTCCACGCTCTTGGCACAGTCCCTGGCCGCCTACAAGCGCGGCGCCGCCATCGCCCACGACAACTGGCGCATCTGGGACAATGTCGTGACCCTCGCCTCCCGCCTGCGGCCCGTGCCTGTGGCGGACCTGCTCCTGGCGCTGCGCAACATCCTGCGCATCCGAAACACCGAGGAGGCGCTGGACGTGAATGTGTTGCGATTGCTGGTGAACGAGGCGCTGCTTTCGCAGGAGAAGCCGGCGTCTTCAAAGGAAGATGAGAGTCAAGATGGAGATGGCAACGAGGACGGAAGGGGGAAGGGGGAGGGGAAGGGGGTGTATGAACCGCCCCGGGGAACGACGCAGCGAGCGGTCTGTGACTTCCTCGAGGGCCGGGTCGTCCCACTCGTGACGGTGAGGTCGGAGTTGTGGGAGCTGGTCACGCGGGAGCGGGTGTGGAGGGGGGATTACGCGGGCGCCGTCGACGCGGCGGAGCGGGCGTGGCGCGCGGCGGTGGGCGGTGTGAGTTCTGGGAGTGGCTTGTTGCCTGGAAGTGGTGCGAAGCACCAGGCTGGGGAGAGTTGGTTCACGGATCGCGAGGGGTGGAAGACGGTTGTTGAGAGGACGGATGAGCTGGTGTCGATGCTGGAGAACTATGGCGAGGAGGTGCCTGAGATTGGGCTTCGATGGAAGGGCAAGGCCCGGAGTGCGGTGAGGAGCGTCATGGGCAAGGCCAAGGAGAATTGGGAGGGTAGTGAGGAGTGGGAAAGGCTGGTTGGGTTATTGGAGGGGTTGAAGTGAGGGTCTCCTGGAGGCAGAGCCTGTGTCGACAGCGGCATTCGGAATTGTGCTGGCAGGCTAGAACATCGGGATGAGGCGTAGTTCACGGCTCTACTGAAGTGTTCTTTTCAGATTACACTTGTAACACCTCCTTCATCGAGAAGAGAGAGTCTGCAAGCATGCGAGGCAAACAAACATCATCAATCATCACGACTGGCTGACCGGAGCTTCTCTGGACAAGCAGCCGAGGGGCGTTAGCCGATGCGCCGTCTGTGCTGTTCTCTGGTTGGCCGACCATTCGGGCGTCGATCCCGGCATGTCGACACCGACCGGGAGGAGTACCGCAAGGGGAACTGGGCGGCTTCCGATGTATGTACATGTATTCCTCTCGGAAGCAAGTTCGTGCGTGCTGAGCTTCTGTCATAATGGGCTCTGTCAATGGAGGCAGGGAGTCATTTGTCCTCAGCAAGCCGTTCGTTTGCTTTCCGCATGCTCGGCTCTGGGTAGTGCCAGTTACTAGGCCTGGTACATCGTACTTGACTATTTCGGGCTATGGCTAGGAACTTCTCTTGTCTTCACTGCCGAGTCAATACGGACGCCAGGTAGATATATCCTGGGTCAGGGCAATATGATACGTCTTATATCCGTAGTGGGGTCGTGCTAAGAATACCCAGCGCATTTATGCCTCACGAAACCCCTTATAGTCCAAAGGCCCGATGGCGGTTTGCAGTGTCTTGGTGACCCTGCTGTTTGATCTGAAACGAACATCCCATTTGGGACGGATGCCCGGTTGAAGGGCGGCAAGTTCCATTCCCCCCTCCTTACCAAGCCCAAGACAATACCTCTTGGCCGTTCATGTTCACGTGCAGCTGAGGCCACCGGGTAAGGTCGTTACAGTACCAGGTACCTTAGTTGTAGTGAACCCCCGTCAGCAGGGTATTTTTCGTTTCAGTGTGGGTTTGTGGATACTGCTGTGCTCCGTTGCAGATCTCTACATGTAGTCAAGTCTACCGTGCCTAGTCACTCGTCATTGATCTCTCTACCTTAGACAAGCCAGATGATGGATTGTCGTTTGATCTCTAGGTTCGAGGCCTCCCTATTCCCCCCGGGGTATTGGCTCACTACAGTGATTTCTTTCCTTTGTCGGTCATCGTGTTTTGCCTCGCCGACGATCCGGGTTTGTGGCAGAGATGCAACGTCATCCACCCGTCCTGGGAGCTGTCTTGGCCTAATGTCTCAACGCACAAAAAACTGCTGGAGTTCGCTCGGTTCTTGCATAGAAAGCAGCATCAAGCAGTCGCGCCGCCGGCAGCATACCCTTGGGGTGAGGTCAACTTGTCAAGAGTTCTGGCAAGATGGCTGTCGATAAGTGGGACAGCTAGACTCAACACAAAAGTCGGAACGTAGGTATCAACGCCTACGTTCGGAAGCTGTCCTCAATTTCCGTCGGCTTACCAAATTTTCTCCGGCAACAACAACAGCTTCCAATTCACAACCAAGCAAGTAGCAAACAATTTAGCTTGTCTCCGAGCACCCAATACCACTTAACAAACGGCCAAAAATACAGCACTCTAGCACCGTCACTGTCCTGGCGCTTGCTATGGCTGCCCTGAGCGAGGAGCACGTCCGCACTAGGCAGGCGACCTGCGGCCCCGACCGGACCGACGCCTGCTGCAAAGCTTTCCGTGTCGGTGCCTCTATACTTTTGGGGATTCGGCCTTTGTTTATGGGGCGACAAGGGCCTGCTCCGGAGGAGTATCGTTCTGCTGCGCCCGCACTGTCCAGGTGAGCAGTCCCCTAGAGACAAGCCGGGTAAACCACCCCCACCGTGCCACACTGCATCAACCCTTTCCAAGGATTTCGTCAATTTCAACTACGTTGCTGCCAACTGCATTCCGCTCTCCCAAGCGAGCACCTGAAGGCTAAGCACCACTGATGAGGTTTCCGACGGAAGGAAGCAGGGATGTCGCTATAAGCCTGAGCGTCACGCCTTACAAGCAGACCCGTACAGGGCGCTCTATACTGGGAAAAAGCTTAAGGGGGGTATTCCGTATTCAACATACAGGGAAGGGGTTCGCTTCGCTGTGAGGGCCTTGATGAGTCAAGTCGGGGCTAGTCATTCTTACCGTTTTTCTTTCGTTCTGAGTTTACTTTCTCCGCTGCCTAAATAGCCACGCTACTTGGAAACTTATAAGCTAAGTTTCAGGGAGACTTGTACCTGCGCCGTAATGTTTGTGCCCCTTTGTTTGCCGGTCATTTCCGACACGTTGATTTTATTGAGTTGTGGCTGAGGCTGTTCGACTTTTAACGATCGCCGGCAGCTGGAGACTGAGGTGAAACAAGGTGCTGGCCTCTTTGCAAAGACCTACTTGATTTTCCATGGCTCGATTGTTGATTAAAGGTTTTTATCTCCTAGATGAGTTTCCGCTCCTGCCTCACCCTCCGTGCAATACGCCATCCTGCTCAGTGCTTCGAGGTCAGGTAGCCCTGGCCCCGGCCTCCAGGGAGCCCGAGCGAGATCAACCAAGGTGAGGCTTCAGTGCAAAGGAGCCGAGCCTGGCGGCTTGGGCACGAGGGTTTTCAAGGCGCCGCGTGAGCGCGGTACTGGTACTTATACGCGTGCCTGAAGGGAAAGGTGGGTGCATCACAAACTAACTCTACTCCTTAAATAGAGGCGCTGGCGTGCATAGCTCATAACTACCATAGGACAACCCGGTCCCTCTTCACTGCTGCCGAATAAAGGAGCACTGTCAAGTTACCTGGCACCGAAGCATTCGCCCAATGCGCCTTCACCGTTCTCACCCGACTCATCCCGCGAATCGGAACAGAAGACAGGCCGTGACAGACAAAATGAGAACCCTGCGATGAATCATTTCGCCCAGAAATCGAGTCGCCGATGCAGCAGAAACGGCCACGCAATCCCAAGCACTCAGTCTGCGACTTGATGTGGGAAGTTGCAGTCGTCGGGTTCTCCAGGTCCGCAGGCTGCAGCCCCCAGAAAGGAGGAACACCTCAAACCCAAAAGAGGCAGGCCGTTGCCAGCCCTTTCCGGCGAGGGCATTGCAACCAGACGAACGGGGACGTGCAATCCTCCGGCATGCAGATCACTGAACAAGGGAGCCAGATTGGGACATGGACGCCAAGAGCGATCGGCACCCCGACCTGCTCCGACAGGTGCTGGCGCCGGCCCTTTTTCTCCTACCTGACGAGGCGGGCGCAATCCCGCCGCCGGTACGAAGTATTGGTGTGAGATGTCGTGACATTCTTATCCTCTTGCCTTCTTGGGTTGCGCGCATCCCTCCACTGCAAGTAGGGTTGGTCTTGGTGGAATGTACGCAAGGAGTTGGGAGCTGAGATGGACGAAGTATTCGTAAGGTGTTGGTCGAAGCCTGTGTGAGGGTAGGGGCAAACAGCCATCAACAAAGACGCGCCTGAGGAGACGCAGCGACTCTTGGGTAAGCCGCAAGGAATAAAGGAAAGTGCAGCTCTAACAGCTGGCGCTGCGGCTTGCCGAGACTCGGCGGGAAGTGTTTTTGTTGTTTCCTGAACGGCCCATGGGTTCAAGCCCCTCAGCCATAACCAACTTGAAGACCCCGACGACAAGATGACTTCTGCCTGGAAAGACGGCGGACTCCTGGTTTTCTTGGGAGGCGCTGGGGGCGTCGAATTGGCGCTGCTTCTGGTTCACCGGCTAGCGCGCCGTCAAGAGCGGAGGGGAAAATGTCTGACTGCGGGCCGTTGAGATCGTCTCAGGCGGTCAGGCCGCCTCCACAGACCAGATCGACAGCGGCCGAGACGCCAATCCGCCGCTAGGCTCTGCGCATCTCAATCCGATATTGTCGCTTTGGGTTGAGGTACGGAGTATTGGATACGTGGACGATGGGCGATGGACGAGCGAGACGACTCTCCCTGGGAAAAAGCTTGAGGATCGCGCTCGAAATGGGGTAGTATTGCTTGGAAGATCAGGACGCTAAGATCGAGAACAGCAAAGGCTCGTCCTGAACGGGTTTGGTCCACCTATCCTGGTCGGCGATCACTGCAGAACCCCGATCAGAGAACTTATAATGACACTCCCGGCGTGGGAAGCATGCTTTGGCGGGGGTTGGGATCTCCGACCAGGGGCAGCAGAAGAAAATACCCATCTTGATCTCCGAAGAAGGATGGACAAGGGATCGGAACCTGACGTGATGTGTTGTTACGTTCTGCTGGCAAGTTGAACGCACCTTCTGTCGATGTTGAGTAGGCAATTATCAGGGCCTCGAAGCCCACGGATCAAAAAGTTTGGTACGGACTACGGTCCGTTCTCATCAGCGGGTCGAAATTGAAGGCCTCCTCTTTCCCCGACCGCATCAAACGCGCAGATTTCTATGATTCGGGACGGTCGCCCAAGAAGATGAAACTCGAAGGGAATCATACCCATCGTTTCCTGGTTGTTTCCAGCCGCAACGGACTCGGAGTTCACTTGGGACGAGTGGAATGCTGCCCGGGTTTCGCTCTGGTCTGCTCAGTGCACGAACTGTTGAAACACTCCACGGTCACCGCTCCTGTTCCAGCAAGGCTACGGAGCCGCCACGACGAATCAGGAGACTGCACTCGGAGACGTCCGGTATGCGGTGAACAACGAGGCCGGAGATATAACCTTCCCAGACTCGCCGGCCGGTGAAGTTGAGAGATGCCGACATGGTTTCTCAGATATCCGCCGGACGGTGTGGGTGTTTGCATCAGGCACCTGTGCGTCGCCGCGAGGCAGGAGTTCCTGTTGGTCACCCAAAGGCTCCACCACGGCTATCTGCATCTGGTTGCGGGCCCCGGCATGATCAGAATCGTGATCCTTATGTTCTGGTAATGGCAAGGTGGCAAAAGAACGCAGTCTAGTCCGGTGTCTTCGTTGAATAGCTTAGAGGTGAGTGAGCTATTGTAAATCATGCAGTGAGAGACCTTGGACCTAGGGATCGGTTCGTCGAGGCGCAGGCATTGCAGGCACGCCGTTATGTCGAACACGCCGGATGGACACCCGATGGACTAAGCAGTAGGGAGAGAGGTTGGGCCCGTATTTCCGGGATCGTTTTGCTGGATGATGCACTCAACAATAGCTGCATTGAGCGGGGGATCGAGCCGAGAGACGCTCTGGACTGGACGGATTAGATCTGTGAGGATGTCCTGCTAGCACGTGGTCCCTGGTCCAGATGTGAGAATTGAGGGTGTTTCAGCGTCTGTGAACTGACCCCCACAACGCCCAACACACGACGGTGGCACAATCCGGCGCCCCTTTGTTAGGGCCGCCCTGAGAGATGTCTAAGATCTGGCATCTTGACTTGCTGCACGGAGCCGCCCCTGTCCCATGCTGTGGTCCCGCAATATATGAGGGCCATTTCCCTCGACAGTGATGGCAACCTGGGTCTTCGCCTCTGGCGTCGGCGCACACCATTTCGATGATGGACTTTCGGAGTTGAATACCCCGCTGGAACTCCCTGCATGCTTGATAACCTCCCTCTGTCAACCTCCGAGTCCCACGAACACCAAGCCACCAACTCCTGGATGGAACTGCCTGCTCAGCTGGTTGGTTAGGAGCGATTACGGGCGTAACGCTACACATTGTGCCGCACAGTTTGCCGAGATCCATTTCGCCATATCTGTGATGCTGCGGGATCGAAAATACGAGACAGAGATGGTGCGAGGTCCCGGAAGGTTGCAGCAGCTAAAGGTTGAGACCCCTGGAGTCCTGGGTTGACTGGCACGATGGGAGTTGCATTACGTTGGATAAGATTGTTGGGATGCCCCTACCTGCCGAGGACCGATTGCGCCGGTCATCATGCTGGATCGTGTGGGCAGGGGCTCGGGGATCGCTTCAAGCGGGTCTTCATGGACGACATGGAGTCTGTATAGCAATGGAGCTGTACCCATCCGACGTGGCCGGCGCCCCCGGTTAGTGTTCGTAGGTGTGGTTTTGAAGCTAGCCGCGAACTTGTTGAGGTACGACCAGACGCAGACAGGCGCCATAGCGAGCTGGGTGTTTCTAACAATGCGACTGGGGCATGCCAGGAGGCCGTCGACCAGCCTGGCGGACTTGGTTTGCATTGAAAACGCGACAAGCCAAAGGCGATGACGGGGTGTTTGGTTGCTGCCTGCCTGCTCGTGCTATTGCTATTCCTGCTCGGCTGACTCGGTTGTGCTACTGCCCTAAACAGTCCCGCCGCTATTCCAGGTTCCTCTTGAAGTATTAGTAGAATACGTTAGCAGCCCAATTGCTGCCCAGTCTTGAATCTCAGCCGCATGGAGACAACGCCTGGTCTACTCTCATCCCCACCCAGGTTAGGCAAGTGTGGAACAGACAGCATGCCAGTTGGGGTCATGATCTGCGACACTCTGGTGGTGGCGCGAGGCACACATGCCGGTATTCCAGTACCTACTTACAAGTGCTGACCTACGTGATCTTGGTCCAGATTCTGCACATGCTGCAGTTCGTGCGGGGAACACCTTGTGGAACAGAGCAACGGCAGCGAGCTACCTCCCCGACGCCGTATTTGAAGGGTTGGAAGTGGTACCCGCGATGGGCAAGCCGCGAGAGGTCATCGAATCTGGCAAGGGCCGTAAGGCTGGCTCAGCTTGTTTGTACCGTGGGACGTACGGCCGTAGATCGTGGTCGTGGCTTTGGCCCGTAGCAGTGGCTGGAGCTGCAGGTCATGCAACCGGGATGTGGTCCGGAGAGGCAGCCGCGCATTCTGCAGCTTGACTCGACGAATGATAAACCGGTAATCTGTAAATATGTGCCTGATCGCGTGCTGCTGTGGACTGTCATGGTATGACAAGACATCGATCAGGCACCCGCCCAAAACCGTCTGTGTTGACCGCCTGCTTCCCACATTATCTCGCTGCGCCGGATCGGGTACCTTGTCTGTTAGATTGAATCTAAATGCAAAACGTCATGCTGTGGAAGGCAACGGTTGCGCAGAGGAGAGCAGTGTTGAGGTGTGAAAAGGAAGAGGTGCGTTTGGAAGCACTGGCAATCCACGCTGGGCCAGGAAGGAGCGCGCAAATCATGAAACGATTCTCAACGTTGGGAGGGAAGGAACACCGATCATGTGAATTGAACTTAGCTGAAGCATCAATTTCCTGAACAAAGCAGGCACGTCCCCTGCTGTATAAGAATATCATGTACCAACCTAATCACTTTGTCTGTCGATTCCGAGTTTCGTTCTAGACTCACTTTCCATTCCTTCGATCGTTGAAGTCGTCAGCCTTTGCAAGAGCCTCGACATACCTGACATCTACCCTGCAGAACTCAACGATTCGGAAAAAAGCAGGGGAAAGCCTACCATCGCTGTCAATTACATTTGAATACTGCTGTCAACTCCCGTCACTTGCGACTTTCGGCCATTGAGATCAAAATGCCAGACAGAGCGCCCCAGGACGGTTCCCAACATGGGGTCTGCCATTGTCCGAACGCGGATGAAGACTCGAACCAATCGCGCCCAGCACAATGCGCGCCGAGTTCGACAAGTAGCAGCGCATGCTGAATTGGACAAAGGCCGCCAACAGACCAGATCACCGCTTTAACGCTTACCCGCTTGATCCCATTCACCATACCCTCAATCCCCGTTCCACGTTCCACAACCACGGCCTCTCCGCGCCGTTCTCCCGACCACGGCGAAGGCGCGCCGGCGTGGCAGCGTCTCGCAGCCCTAGGCTTGACGTCACGGTTTAAAAACCCCGGGTTGGCTTGACAGGTACGCACTACGTCCGTATGCATAGAACAATATCTCTTGTTTAACCACACCCGCATCCACGTCTAGCGGCACAATTGCTCCATTCTCAATCTTCTCTTCGCCGTGCCTGAGCCATGATGAGAGTCAAGAGACACACGCACCCATTCATCAGCGGCCCCTCGGGAAACGCCTGCTGCACACTTCGTGATGCCGCGGCCCCCAGCAGCAGCGCACATGCACCGGGATGCTTGTTGTTCCTGCAGTCTATTTGCGGCCATGGCTGCTGCCGTGCCCAGGGAGATGGTGCCGACACTTGGAAGCTGCGGGCGAGGCTTGGCTGGAAGACATTGTCGTCGTGCCGTCAACATGGCTCGGCGGCCACTCCACCTCTTTTATATGCGCCGCACGTCTCCGGCATCACAACTCTTTTGAATCCCGTCAGCAGTTCGGATGTTCAACTACCTTGCCAGTTTACCACGACAGCCGACACCGTCAAGGCTCCGGATACCACGCCTGCCCCGTTTTGTTGCTCTCTTGCCAGGCATCGCATCGATTTCCTCAGCCCCGCCGTCCTTTTGCGCCTCGGCCCAGCACCATTACTTCGATCGTCACGGGATCTTTCTCGTTCGACAGCCCAGTGGAGAGGAAATCAGTTTCCGTCACAGGCCTATGGCTGAGCCCTGACGCCGAATTTTCGGAATCTCATGACAGGAACAGCGTTGTGGTACTCGGAGGCAAGAACTTTGAGAGCAAGACACACCTTTCTGGCGATATCATCAGCGGTAGGTGTTGCAAAGCGAGCCAATACCACCCTCTTTCAGCTGCCTTTGTCAATCCAGTCCACCGCCCCCAGTTCCGCTGCCCGCTGTGGCCCCAGCTTTCGTCTCACACCTCAAGAGACACGCGACGCACGACGGGAAGCATCTCTGCCGGGCGCATTCCTGTTGGTCCCATCTCAATGATGCCACCGCGGCTATTGCCGCTCTGCTCATCTCTGTGGCCCAGTCTGGGCAGGAGGAGCTTGCGTCGGATAGCTTGAGGCTTGAGTTTGAGACCCATAGACGGCCAGTGCCGGCCGCACTTTCAAGATGTGGCCTTCAAACTGCCATGTAACATCACTCCAGCAGATCAACAAGGGAGGCACATCGTGAGGGTTTGGGATTTGCCCTCCCCCACGGCGATCCATCGCCTTCCCAAAGAAGCGACAGCTCGTTAACCAATCGGCGTCTAGGTTGCACAAGCTACCTGTGGCTGCCACCCCTACCTGCCTGAGCTTCGTCCCGCTTCGTGCTGGGCAGGATCCCGCCGACTGTGCTGCCCGCCGATCTGAGGCTTGCGTCTGTCCGAGCCTCCCCGGACCTTCTTCCAGGGCTGGTAGTATCCGGAGCTCGCACGCTGGGGAGGTATCTGGCGTTGATACGAGATTGAGCGGCCCAGTCACTCGTTTCCGACTGATCGCCGCCAACACGTCAACAGCGGCCGTGGAAGTGCCGGGCGGTGGCCGAGCGTCGCATTTTCGATCACAGGGATCAGTGGAATGCCGCGCCAGCTGATCTGGGGTCCCAGATCCGCACCGGACGATCTCTCTCTCCCTGTGCGTGGTTCCCAGGTTCTTCTCCACCTCATCCAATGTTGGCCGCCGCTGACCAGCCTTGCAGGTGGGCCGCTCCCAATTTCACTGCCCTCACCAATCCCTATTCGGCCAAACACCCCCTGTCATATCGCCGAGCGTTCCACAGATCACCCCAATGGGGTTGGAGTATCCTCGCGCCTCTCCAAAACTCTCTGCAAGTGTGTACAGGTACCTCTTGCCTGCAGGCCAACACCCCTGCTCTGAGCATTCCGCCTGTCTCTTTGCTTTTCCTTTTGGCTCTACCTTCCGTTCCGAGATTTTCGCCCTCTCCTAAGTATCGCGACCTGTGCATATCTCTCTCGGTCTGCCTTGATGCACATCTCTCTGTCTCGAGGATGCGCTCTCGATCCATGGCCAGCATCCGGTCAACACTGTGCCCCTCTCGTTCAGTCCTTTCCCGACAACCTCAAGGAGGCATTCCGTGCTGCCTGCTCTCTCAAAAACTCCCATCCTTGCAGACTGGCACACGGTGCCGGTGTCCCCACCCCCAACTGACCCTTGCATGATCCACATCTCTCCCCAAGAGAGACCATGGAATCTTGCATTCAACGGCTGGCCACCCTGCTCACCCGGACGCCATTCCTTCTCGCTCGTCGCCGTCACCTGCCGGTGTCCTGAGCACCTTCGGGGAGCCGACTTGAGACACCAGTGCCTGGATAGGGGGGGTTGAGGAACCCTCTTCTCCTTGGCGTTGTTACCGCGGGGCATTCGGCCAACACTGAGGCTCTGTGTCCAGTTCGCCTTGGGCAAGCACGAAAGCCTGCCGCCGGTTGACGCGCCTCTCCCAGATTTCAAGCCCTCCGGCCTGCATTCCGAAGCCCACTCGACACCCGTCGTACCGACCAACCCAAACTTTTCCGGATATGCAAGCTGCTGCTGGTCCGTGTCGTGTTTCCATTCCTTTACTGGCCCGTACCGATCTTCATCTTCTCATCTGCACCCTCAAGAGGCCAAGTGTGTCTGGACTCTGTCTTGAACAGGCCGTATCTGCTCTTCATGCCTTGCCCTCAAAGTTTCAGTCCACCAGCGCGGCTCCGCATCTCGGGTTCGCAGACACGGACGAACTGTGGTTCACGGATACCTGCTGTCGCCGATTACAAACATTCTGACACCTCATCATGCGAACAGGTTCAGGATAGCTGCATACAATCGACCTAATCCACCCTCCCGGTTCCGAGAACCGGGCTTTCGACTTGGGACGAATAGGCCTTTTTGTGCCAATCAGCATCCGAGTAAGCGTCACCTTATGCTCTCTGCCACCAGCGTTCCAAGAACCCAGGCCCCGCCTGTCCGTGGTGGGCGGGCTACTCAGGCCAGATCGTTGGAAATCTTTGTTGTCCGGATGCTCCTGCAACTTACCCCTGATGCGTATCCGGAGTCGATGTTGACAAAACTTCTTTACAGTTCGATAATCTTATATCTTTGAACCGGAGGCACCCTGAAGCTTGAATATCTGTAACTGAGATTTGGTCTGAAGCGCGCTCATTGCTCTTTCACCCCGGCAAGCCATACAGCCACTCAGCCACCACGCAAGTTCAACCATCGAAACGTCGTCAAAGGGCGAGCGTCACCGTCTTAAGGGACGGCTCAGCGCGAAGGTCCGACTTTGCTCAGAGTGCGGTTCAAGTTCAACTCCGCTTCGGCCCTGTTTTAAGGTGAGTCCACTGGATCTGATCTCACCCTTTACATGGCCTACCATTGCTGTATTCAGCTTGGAGATCACATATGGCCCTGAGGTGCCCGTGTCAGCCCACCCCGTCTAGCTTGAGGCTGGTTGGGCGGTTGTCACTGACCGGGTGGAATATATGACTTAGTCTCAGATTCACGTGGCCGATTGACTAGAACAGACGACAGCCACTCCTCGTCGACTTTCCACCTGCACCCTGTCAAACGGGCACGATTTACCACCACGAGATATTTCAAAATCAGCTTGAATGTCTGCAACCAAGATCCAGCAGCCCGTCTACAAGCTGTACGAGGTCAGTCGATGACTGGGACAGCGTCTCTCGCAACGCTTTGGCTAACGCCTTGCCAGCCCGGCTACCATCCTCATCGGACCATTATTCTCGACGAGCAGGTTGAATCGCCAGAGACACTGACGATTCGGCTTGAAGAGGAGGCTGCCAGAAACGGAGGAAACCTCAGCGGGGGATGCCCCCCTGGTCTCCTGCCATTACCCATGTCTGCGTATAAGCCGCAACCGTCTCCGCTGCACGGTAAGTCTCACGTCTGTCATCGGCTCTTGATATGTCTGGAATAAACGAAGGACTGTGGCTGACTTGTGCCGAAAAACGACTAAGCTCCAGGGTATGCAGACTCCTATTCGCAATACTCCTCTCAGACGTTCCCATCACAGCAGACAGACAATGCGGCGGCACAACTCAACCAGATGGCTTTTGCGGCCAACAGTCCAGCATCAGCACAGTACCTAGACGCTCAAGTAACGCCGGCGGTCAACATCAGCGTCCTGTCATGTAATCCCAGCAGCGGCTCCTCTGGTACCAAGGTATCGGTGAAAGCGACATGCCAATACGACCTCCTCGGCAGCGGTCTCTCAGCGCCGGCACCCTTCGTTTCGCTTGTTTTTGGTTCGCAGCGGTGCAGTGCGCATGTCTCGAGAGACTCGCGGGACGGCAACGGCGTTTGCACTTACACCCTTACGGCCGAGGCTCCACAGTTCATCAGCACTGGTTCTCCGTCTCTCAGCAACTTGCCCTTAACGTTGTTGTTGGAAAATGCGAATGGGGAGGAAATAGCACGTGTCGGGAACATTGGTGCGTTTTCTTATCGTGATGCCCATGACAGTGCTAGGGGCGGTGCTGGAGTGCCTGATGACAGCAGCCAGTCGGATCTGGGGTCCCCCAAGACCCGATCACCTGTCCACCGGGCCAGCCCACCACACCAGGTTTCACAGGGCAGGCCAAAGCCAGCCAGCCCCGTTGTTCACCAGCAGCTGCCCGATGACGCACCCACAAATACGTACGGCTACTCTTCCAGCGTCTCGGCCGCCACTGCTGCGGCACAGATACAAGCTCAATCTCAAATTCCCGACTTCTCCGCTACCTCTACGGGCTCCTACAGCCAGGGCAACAGCAACATGTTGTTCTCGTACCGAGCGGCATCCTTCACGGACCACTACTCGCGCGCGCCTCCCATCCTACGGTCACCACACGGGACAGGTTGGATGTTTAACAGCCAGCTCGACCCCCTGCGAGCCCCTACGTCGGCTCTTGCACACAGCACGCATGACACCGTTCGCCGACCCAGCTTGACTCTGCTGCAGCACTCGGCCTCTCCAGCGCCTCAACTCATAAGGACCAGCACGCTCAACCAGCCGGCCAGCGGGTTCCCTGGCTATGGAGTCTACCAGGAGAAGGCGACACTCAAGATTGTTGGCGATCTCGCGTCCATGTCGGAGGGCTGGACTCAAGAAGAGTGGGAAAACAAGAGGAGGCTGGTGCTCTTCAAGAAACAGCAGGCTGGGAGCACACTCACAGTCAGCTTCAAGCCTGTCAGTGTTGCGGAACGCCCTCCTCATAGCATCTGCATCAGCTGCATCTGGTGGCAGGAGAAGCAGGCCTGTTATGTGACGTCGGTCGACACCATCCATCTGCTCGAGCAGCTGCTCGCCGCCCCGAATCGGTTTGGCGTCGACGAAAAGAACCGCATTCGCAGGAACCTCGAGGGGTTTCGCCCGGCAACCGTCAGCAAGTCTCGATCCGAGAGCGAGGAGTTCTTCAAGGTGATCATGGGCTTCGGGAATCCCAAGCCCCGGAATATTGAGAAGGACGTCAAGGTGTTCCAATGGAAAGACCTTGGCTCAGCCCTCTACAAGATCATCTCCAAGTATAGTGCTTCAACAACCACCACCCTCATGACCCCAGCAACCTCAACCCCCGTTCCCGCCGCCGTCGGCCTCGGCGGAAGCTACCCAGGCCTGCCTCCGACCCCTGTATCCGCGACATCAAGTGCCGCTGCAGATCCTGCTTCGGCCGCAAGCTACGTTGGCGCCACCGGCCATCACCATGCAGATTCCTTGACGAGCCCCCGCACTTTAACCGGTGGGACATCGGTATGGCCGACATCATACGGCTCGGCGGCCGCCAAGACAATGTCACCGGCTCTCAAGACGAACCCACCAGTTACGGACTCTAGTCTGCGCCTCTCTACCACCCTGCCGGTAGTCTACGATCATCGCGGTTCCACACACAGCCTAACATCACCGTACGGCTCAACCGGATCGTCGTCCCATCACTCCCACAGCACACACCATGGGCATGGAGGAACGTACGGTCACCATCCTGCGGTTCCCGCGTCCCAGAGCCAGCCAAGGAACTGGGAGGGCTATTCAGTTGCAGAGGGATATCCCAGCCACACGGGCGGTGGTCACAGCCAGATGTATGGTGGCGGAGCGTACGGTGACGGTGGGCCCCGTGCCTGAGCGCGTGACCCTCCTTGCACGTCTTGCCTTCAAGACCACCGCCATGGGGGAAGTTCCGCTGTCCGGCGGTCGGCCCCAGTTCTATTCGGTAGGCATGGCAGGATGCGCAAATGGAAGACGCAAGCGAGGAGCGGAGTTCAGTTGGCGGGGGTTCCGCTCGGGAGATGCGGTCAATGCTTGGCTCGGTCATCTGTCGGAGGGTGACAGCCGACTGACTGCCGTGAGTCACCGCGGGTGGGCGATGGTGGGCGACTGGGAGCCGCCAGCCCGCGTGGGTCGGCCGTTTGGCACCACTGGTTGTGGTGTCTCCTTCAAGCCTTCATTCGAGGCTTGTTGAAACTCAGGAGATCTCTGGAAACACACCAGTCGGCGGTCGGTTTCAACCCTAGCAACTGGTCCATCCATGACTTAATTACGGAAACGGTGTCAACTTCAGAGGCAACCATACGATACTTCACCTTGCCGACCAACACGACGACTCGGCAGTACGGTTCTCGGAGAAGTCGCTCCCATTAGGACATTGGTGTGGTTGGCTGGCATAAAACTGTTGAGGGAGTGATCAGCTGGTTGGTCCGCCAACCAATCAGGGGCAAAACAGCTCCTCCATCCCGACCGCGAGGCACGTCCCGAGACCCCCCAAAACTCACGCGATGCAACATCCCCAACCCTTCGACCGGCACCGTTTGGCAGATCGCTGCACCTCAGTTTATACGACCGTGTCCCGTGCAGACGGTTCATGCGGAGCGATCCCGGATCTCAGATCGGCCATGTCGAACAAGTGCCGTCTCTGCGTTGCATCGCGTCTTTGCAACTCGGACGTCCCATACGGGGAGTATCCCATCTCGCGGCGTTCTCGTAAAGCCTCTCGAAACGGGCTGTCCATGATATCTCACCTCCCGGACGCCACGGGACCAGGTTTGGGGTTGTATTGGTCCGATGGACCGTTGAGCGGAGTTAACACCATCGACCGCCGAATTGGCATGATCACCTCGCAGATACTAGGTCCGTCACAGCTCAAGCTACACCGGAACGCGAGTTCTGCATCCTGCACAAATTTAGCCCTGCATCCGGCCCTCGTCGTCCCTCTTGGCCCTGCATCCCCGTGCCCCGGCCTTACATGTTACTGGTCACGGACGATAACGCCGACCCGTACTCCCTCAGCTAGAGGGCCCATAACTGCAAAGCAACGTCCCCCCACGCGATTACCCTTATGTCGCACGGACGAGCTCTGCCGGTTGCGGAGACCTATGCTTTGGCTTAGCGCTCAAAGCTTGAATCACACCTTCCTCTCGCGGGATTCGGGGCATCAAATGCTTGTTCGCCTCCATCAACAAATCGATCATCAGTACTGATAGTATGAGCTTTGGGTTCATTTCACTGTTATTATGACATACCCAAAGGACTCGTGCTGGTCACGGTTGCCTTGAACACAACATGGTTCAGCCCATCTACCAATTCGTGGCAACGTTTGATGAAACCGAAGCAGGTGAGGGTGCATCCAGCCGGGCGATCGTGGCAATGTGCAGGTTGTTACATGACCCTACCAAGCCCGTTCAACACTATCGAGGCGGTGCCGCCTACCTCCGGACCTCGGTGGTCTCATGTCCCTGTCGTTGAGAAATCAGCGCCATACTGCCGACTCCAACGTGGAACCCTTAGCTGCACTCTCCTTTTTTGGGGGTTGTTGCCTCATCGGCAGGTCTCTCAATCATGCTTTGGTGCTCGGTTCCAGGGTCTTCTGCGTTATTTTGCGTGGCTCAACTTGTTTCTCTTTGCGATCAATGGTTATGGTACGCGCACGGTCGGACCCATGGTCCAGGATCAGATACCCCTTTTCTGTTTCTTTCCTCCTAGTATGCAATTTCTTTCTAACTCCGTATTCTTATTAATTTCCACTTAATTTCCTATTTAGTACCCACGGCTATCCTTGGCGCATTGTATTCTTTGATATCTTTATCTCTGATGTGTCTTTTTTCTCTTCTCATATGATGAGTGGAATGAGATGACTCGGGCGGCACTGGATCAACATCTTTGTACTCGTGGTGGCTGGAAGGCGGATGGGAAAAGTCGGGGAAGAAAACTCGGAAGGGCTCCAAAGGGAGCATTGTCTGGTTTTTTTTGGGTTGGGGGGGGGGGGATTTGGGTCTTTCTGGGCGGTTGTCGGTAATGGATAGATTTAATTGAATACAGGTAGGTACCTTTAATTGGCACCAGCGTGCCTTGGTCGCTCCTCCAATGTCTATGTACCCTTGGTCTCACTTCAGCTGCTGACTCGGGAGGCAACCCGGGCCGCTGATGAAAGGGGCATAGATATCGCCACGATATCATGATACATTACCCTTCCCGCCTGGCCCAGATTGTCCATGTCTTTGGGCTCATCTCCACTGTCGCAAATGTCCCCAGTCTGTACAGTCCCAAGCAATCCGACTCAGACTCTGTGTTTCGAGATCTGGGAGTGTCATGGTGTGATGGCTAGGGGAAATGTTGCTGTGGCAGTGTCGACCCCGTACAGTGAGATCTGAGAAACGGAGCACAGAGAGGGGTGTGCGAGGTGTGGCAAGGCGAGATTTTTTTGTGTCGTACCGGAGTGACACCGTGGTCATGTTGCACCGGACGGATTGGACACGAGATCTTGTGGTTGCTTCTTGTGTATTGTAGAAAGGGCGGGGAATACTTTTGGGCTGGCTATCTTCTTATTGCTCATTTGAGTGAGGTAAGTACCTGGGGGGGTTAGGCGTTGGGCTGTTTTGATGTTCGTGCTTGAGGTTAAGATACCGGTAACGTTATGTCTGTTTCTGATGGTAAGTTGCACATGTGTATATATTATTATTCCTACACCGCTGTGCCCTAGGGCGTGCCGGACCTTCAACAACTTACTATACAGGAAAACCGCGCCCTCGTGGGCCGGGTGAAAAACCCATATCGACAATCAAGGAAACGATCAGTGTGCGATCCTGCAAATACAAAGTGGGAAGGCCTCTTGGCCTTCGAAGGAAAGGGTATCAGACTGCGAGCTCCAGCTCCAGCCTCCTGGCCAGACCGTACATCGGCAGTTTCCCCGAGTCCATCAGCCAGTCCAGGATCCTCCCCGTTAGCCGTGCAGCTTTGGGACTGATTCCCTGTAGGACAGAATAAAAGTCCCTTCGCGTTCTGATTTCGGCTCTCTCCCATCTTCGAGTCAACGGTGGGACCAAGCACCACATCACAAGGTGTTCGACAGTCTCTCGCCCCTCTCCACACTCGCATATAGGCGTCAGTACCTCTGGGACTCTCCTTTCGAATAAGAAAGCCCGAAGGCCTATGGCCCCGGTTCGAATCTGGATCAACAGTGAACTCTTCGCTCTGCTGAGGCCGTCGTGTCTCCTTAGGGTTTTGTCTTGAAACAGAGTCTCGTGCTGGTGGTCAAGGTCATCTGCGGGCCTCGTTGCTGTCCGGCCGTCTCGTTCCTTGAGCCACCTCTCTCTCCAGGCCTCCTCCATTACTCTGTCCGTGTCGGCAGTCCTTCCCGTCCAAACTGCAATTGCGTTGGCGGCTTTTTCTATCGCTGTGGGCTCCTGCGGCCCAAAGGCTCGCGGTCGGCCCCTGTTATCCATCCTCGAGTTGAGTATCTGATATATCTTGCCGCAGGCCGCATGAACAATACTCCCTGCAGTCTTCTTTCCGCCTCGGCCGTCGGCCAGAGTGGGCATTTGGAGCCGGGCCTCACATGTGTATATAGTTAATGATGTCTTCGGTTATGCATGCCGTGAAGATGTGGATGCTTGAATGGAATGTATAAGTGCATGTAGTTTAACATCGAGCGATTAGTAATCTAGGCGAAGGATACGTTGGACTTCAAAATCATGAATGCTCTAGTTATTGTCGACATCCGTCAGTCTTTCGGATCTTTCTGCTGCTAGCCCAATGATTAGGTGTGTAGGCCTGTGTATGTACGCTCTGAAGCCTGAAACATGCGTCCGCTCAGATTGGTTTTGTGTACTCCACGCTATTGTCATTGGAAATGGACAATCTCCGACTAACTTACGTCCGCGTCTTTGTTCCTTACATGTACAGTGGTATTAGTCGGGACTTCGCTGGATTGAACAGACTGGATATATTGTAGCCTTGAATTTGATTAGATTCCAATCCGCATGGTCGGCACCTTATCTGGATGACAAGAGAATATGGCCGTCAAGATTCAGACGGGGATCGCCTGCCGTTGGTTGTTCCAGTTGATGACGCTCTCAAATGTGACTTTGGGAGCTGCAAAAGCTCGTCCCATCTAAAGCACAGGTCATATAGTACTGTACCGATAAGTATTGTTTCATAGACGTCCCTCATGAGAACTAACTGGTCGATGTTCGACTTTCCAATGGGATGCGTGCATTCACTTGGCTGCTTCTTTTCTGAATGCAGGCATCACTAATTAGGTGCCGTTTCGGTCTTGTTGGCAAAGGCAACAGGCTCGCACAGCTTTCCTTCCATCCATTGGGTTCTCCGGTTCTGCACACTGGAGAAGCAACTTGCAAATGGATTCTGCTGATATTCAACGGCGCCTTCATTGATCCACTTTTCTGTCGGCCATCTCATGTTTCACGGACAGCAATCGCGATGAATCATTTTATCATGGTGATGCAGAAATCAGGACTCAGGCTCCTACCGATCTCGCCTATAATATTAACCCTTAAGCATCCCCCCGCGAGCAAGAAGATTTCGTGAAGCCCTATACTGCTACCATTGCATCAGCATCGACCGCAACCACTTCGCAGGGACAATGATGGAGGCGGCGAAAGGAAGTTGGGATGATGAATGTGAGATTTCGTATGCAACCCGAAATTTCTATCGCGGCCATTCTACAGGACGAGCTAACTGAATCCTTCCAGGCCCTACAGTTGGAGTGATGGGGACATTGTATGCCTCGAGTTTTGCAGGCGGCCTTCTCGCCATTTATCAGGCAGTCCTGCTGCGAGGAATGAACCTGGGCGTACTCGCCGACCCGACGTCCACCTACATCATCCTCACCTAGCACTCGGTCACTGCGGGGCATGCCCTCGTTGACTTTCTTTTACCCAAAAGGTCTGGACCCTGCCGAAGTGGACGGGCCGCGGCAACCCGTCTGCGGACAATCAGACATGGAAGCTCAAAGTCCATTTCGACATTTACGCGCTAGCCCGCACCCTGGAGCTGGCTGAATTCGAACACCAGGTCAAGCCTGCCATCAAAAGGGGATCACAGGGCCTCGACGTCTTCACCATCATAGACATCGTCAAGCAGGCGTACCCAACGCTGATAGGCCACGACACTTGGTTTCCCGAGTGGCTCAAGCTGCACATCGAACGGGGAGAAGAGGGTTCTGACGTGTTCAGCATCATAGACCTCTTCAGGAAGGCGTATCCGAAGCCGATCGGCCAACCGGACGCTTGGTTCCTCCCGTGGATCAAGTCGCGCATCAAGGACGCTTTTGTCGACGACCCCGGCGGGGTGAAGGAAGAGGCGATTGGGCGTGGCTTCATGGACGACTTTTCGGTTGTCAAACTCATGCTTGAATGCATACTTGAGACGTATTTGAAAGTGGTGGAGTGCCTGGGCTCGGTGGGCAGTCAAGGTCCCGCCGGTGGACCAGGTACTCCAACCACAGACAGCTGTTTCAGTGACATCAATCACGAGACGTTCAAGTTTCCAGTGGATGACTGGGGGTCTGGGGCGTTCGATCTTTCAGAGTACGACACACTCGGGGGCCCGGAGGGCGTCCACAGTGTTCACAGCAGAGCTGGAATCGGACGCCTATCCAGAACCGGAGCCCGAACTGGAGCCCGAGCCAGTGCTGAAGGCGAAGATTGCGGAACAGGTTCCTGGTATGAAAGAAGAGTCGCCAGCCTTAAAGAAGACCTTTGGGCCATCAGAACGAAACAACCAGGGAAAAAGATGGTAAAGGGAAGGACAACCCTTTTTTCGAGTCCGCATGATGATGGCCGAAGACGCCCACTAGGTCTAATAGGAGGCTTGAGACGCAGGAAACTGCTCGCCGAGCCATGGCCGCAAACGATTTCAGTGAAGACACATACCCGAAGGCAAAGCCTCCGAAGCCACGCTGTGTGCTCACGGAACTCCGGAACGGGAAATACAAACTTAACGGGGGTTGGAGAAAGCGGGATCTTATGACGAGGCGTCCGACACCGACACGTATCGGTGCTTGAGGGTGTGGAAACCTATATCTCAGTTACCTGTAGACCTGACTGTAGGGATAAAACTCTCTGGACACGCGACGACTAGGATGGATGGATATGGCCGAGGGCTGGTTCGATGTTGGACGAACGCGGTACCGAAGAAACGGCATGGATAAAAGGTGGCAGAGTGGACATACGCGAATGGACATGTTCAAGGTGGGCATGGACAACCCATATAGCTTTGAAGCCTGGAAAAAACGGCGCGAAGCTCAGTGAGCCGCACGTGTGCAAAAGTTAGGTTGTGTCCTTGGACTCGGAGTACTTCATTGTGGTCCTGGAAGACGCATAGTCTGAACTTGCAATTTGGTTTCTGATCGCAACCGTCACTATAATGTGGCATCATTGACTGGCTTGCGTCTGTAGAAGGGGCTAACTTTATATCCTGTTATCCTGTCCCTTCCTTTCTTTCATTGTCGTCTTCGCTCGGTCTTCTTCCCTTTTCCAATTGCCTTTCCGCCTTGTCCTTCCTTCTTTTCTCATTCCTTAGTATTTCTTCATTGTTATGTGATTCTCCATCTACTCCCATGGGACTCCAAGTGCTATGACCGAAAAAAATCCAGATCATTACACTTATCAGAATTAACCTAGGCTTGGATTGTGTTGGAAGAGAGTCGAACCTGTTCGGGTCTCGATATGCGAATTTATGTATGAATCTGAACTGATGGTATCTAAACATTACAACTTTTCAACCCGTCCGAACATTGTACAGAACACCAATACATCCCTATGTGATTTGGCCCCTTGAAACACGTACACCATCTGTAGAATCCGTTCCAAAAACACCAAGACCAAACTCCCTCCCATCCCCATTCGTCATCAACGGCACCTACAAAGTCCTCTTCTCCACCTGTTCCTTCTTCAACTCACTCGACGCCCGGCTCGACTCCTCCAGATCAGCCCCCCCAGCCGGCAACGTACTGTCCCTCCCGCCATCGAAATGCACCCTCACATCTGTCGTGCGCATAATGCCATTATACGTCATGATCTCCTCCTCCGACCCGCTCGGGCTGATACTCCGACACTCGGTATGCTGCCCATTCTTACCACTGCGCGTGAGGTTTTTCAGCTGGATACTGCTGTGCCTACTGACCCCGTTGCCTCCCGCTTTCGACCCGGGGCCACCACCACGAACGGCACTACCCGTATGAGTGCCCTGCCCGTGCCCACCTAATACAGACCCCGCCGCGCCCGAGTAGTAGGGCGTGTTGCTGTTGGGGTAGGCGTTGTTGTACTTGTTGACGCCGTAGCGGCCCGAGCTCCCGGCGAACCAGGAGGGCATCAGGGACCGGAAGAGCGGGCGGAGAGCCGGGGCCGAGGCCGACACGATGGCGATGTTGGCCTCGACGACGGAGAGGGTTACGGTGATGTCGTGATAGGGGTCTGCGTCGGGGGCTTTGGGCAAGTAGAAGAGCTTGATGACGCCGTGCAGGCGGACGATGCCGATGATGGTGACGCTGCGAAAGCAAAGCATGTTAGTGGCGGTTCTGCAGGGAAAAGAAGGGG